CATAAACTTTATTCGAAATAAAACCAGTGACTGGATTTTGATTTCGGCACGCAAAAAGAGTTTAGTTTAATATTGGTTTCTTTTGTGGCGTAGTTTCATCACTTTCACCCGTTTCAACCCCATAGCAAGTAAACAGTGTATTATTAGTAGCAAGTAAGTATACATAAGGATAATCTCGCATGGCATACATCTCGTGTGTGATGTGTGGTTCTGCTCAAATTGAAACTGAAATTGCATTACTTTTCCCATTTTGTCAAATCTTTCTACTGAACAAATTACTACTCACAAATGCAGTTTCACCAAATCTATAATGCAATATTTGCTCTCTTGCTGTGGCCACCAACCTTCCATTCCCTTCAGTCGTACAGAAATACGTATGTACATGCAATGAGATGAGTCGTAAGGGCCCCAAGTTGGATTGGAATTAAGAGCCATCAACGGAAATCACATCAAGTCAACTGCAAAAGACAACATTCGCTTTTTATGTCTGCCCTTAAGCCACAAACTGCAATCAGGGTCGTAATATTACAAGGAGAGTGAAAAAGCGATAGAAAACTTTCAAGTGCTGCTGCTACCGTTGAATTGCTCCTCTTCAACTTTTATTCCTCAACATTTCATAATTTTCAACGCAGCAGTGCATTCTCATAATTTTCCAAATTATACGGAATAACATGGCTGAAAACTTGAGTGTCAATTATACAAACTCATTTTCTCTTCCCATTTATTGTTTGCAATCACACTTTTGCATTATGTAAGACGTGATGCTAATGCGGCCAACCGACTGCAGCATAATTATTATCCGGCCAAACATACATATTACGTAAGACGTATAAACTTTGTAATCAATACCATAAATTCCCATGAGCGAAGAAAACTACATACTTTTCTACCACCGTCTACAAAGTAGAAGACGTGCCTTCTTCATAGGACTGCATATTTCCTTGAGAAAGTTGACTGCGTTCGAGATGCAACTCGCTTAATGAAATGAACCGAAAATTATTCATCGCATCTCAGCGCAGTGCAATGGAAAGAACTGGAATGAGTAGCAGAAGTAAAGAAGTGGTATCGAGTAGTGAATCGGGTTATCGAGCGTGTCATCATCATCACGATTTCCATTTGGATATCGGCAACCAACCAGCTCGACTGGGTGGCCATAAAGAACTTTCTTTCGGCTTCTTGCAACTTGAGAGCCACGCGGAAGTAGAACCCGGCCAGTGGTCCAATGCAATGCCAACCAGCAGTCATTCAACTTGAATTCTTAAATGATGCGAAAGTAGTTTGTACCATTACCCACGCACAATAGGGATATGCACATATCACACATTGCAGACAGCCAGACAGACAAAATAGATGCAGAGTTCAATCGAACTACATAAAATTACACGCGTACAAAAAAAGAACTCGACATAAAATTATTTCGGTCTATAAAAGCAGAAATTTATACCAACTGGAGCGTAATAAAGTTGGCGGATTCGAGATTCTGCGAATGCACATGATTGATTTTTTTTGTTTCGTTTCATCCTACAACCAACCACAGAGTTAAATCTTTGTAAGCAAGCACACCGGGCGGCGAGGAGGTTAATTGAGTTTGCACGTTTTTTGATGTCGGAGCAGTGAAATTGCATAATTCGAGTGTGCCAGACGAGCAATGTAATGCTGCAACTTTGTTCGCGTGACGATGTATCACTAACAACTTTCTCCTCCTATTACATAACCAGCAACCTTCTCTCTTCAAATAATTTGTTCTACTTCTCTCATTTCCATTTCAAATTAAAATTATTCACAATTCTGTCCGATTGCTTCTACCCGGCCTCACAAAAGTGAAAACTATCCCAGACTCTGGTCCGCATCGATCCACTTAATTGTCATTTTCACCACTATATTCATATCCAGAGGGAGCGAGATAAAAGAAGAAGTTTTCGAATTGGATCATTCTCCTGCTGCTGCTGCTCTCAGCCATCCTTGTCCTTCATTTCGTGTCGTCTCTTCTTCCTTCTTCTTTTATGCATCCACCGTGCTGAACTACTTTTTAGTCAAGTTAACAGAGTTTTGAAGAGAGGGGAGACGGAAAGGAAAGGCAAGTGCATCGTGAATAAGAGCCCAAGAATGGATGGATGAATGTTGAGGATTACGTTAGATCGTGGAGAGAAGGAGGTCTTCCCCTTCATCCACTAACTAACAACCACCGGCAGCCAAAGCACATAGAACAGAACAGAAGAATCTCTCATGGGGCGACTACAACAATATATTTCCGAACGCAAGTTCAACCCTAACCAAGTTTTCTCTCGTCATGGGCCTCCTTTCACTAGTAGACTAAAGCGTCGGATTCTATAGACTTATTCTCTCCCTGCCCCAAATTCTCTCACCTCAACTTTCTCCCATTGTTTGGAGATGATAACGAGATCTTTTGAGAATATCGGACACATTTTAATTTCTAATATTATTAGCATAACTTGTTTTTTTCCTTAGGTAAGCAACCAAGGAATGTGACACGCTTGACCGTGGGAAATGGGAGTGAAACATGAGTTCAGTCAGGCGAAAGCGTGTGTACATATATAACTGCAGATCAAAGTGGTTCCTATCGATTACATGTATGTTGTTGTTCACATTAGTCTTTAACTGTCCTTGACAATAAGTTAGATTGCTAATCACCCCTTTTTCCTGTGCGTAATTGTCTTTGTCCAAATGTGTCATAATCATGGGCTTATTCATGTTGGCAAGAAACACAATAAGTATATTTATTCCTGCACAATTACAGTCCTTGGCACAATGAGGAATCTCAAGTATGAGTAATAATAATACAGATTGTGATACGCAAGAAGGCATTAAAGTGGTCTCACCTGATTGTGAGTGGTAGCAGGTAAGGTATCAAATCAAGCGGAATATGCTCGTTCCGAATAAAAAGTGAAGCATGATTAGGAATAAATATTTTGTGATGCATTCATATCTCTAAATGGTTTCAATGATGACGTTGAATCGTGGGAGTTTGGAGATGATGGGAAAGTAAAGACCGGTAGTAGTCGCTAGTCGAGTGTTCACTACTTCACGTAATTTATGGCGTGTATGTACTATTTGTCATCTCGAATGTGTAATTACTGCCTCTCCTTATATAAAACTTTTCCTGACCAACAACAACCATTAAATCGAGCCTGTCAATGAATAAATGGAAAAAGATGCCAACCCAAGGAAGGAGTTTCTTTGAGGGTGATCATCATCAGGAGATGATGTAGTCGGTACAAAGCAAAGTCTCACGAGTCAGGTGTTAATAATTTGGACAAGAAGTAAAATAATGATTTGAGATTAAGCACACCAAGATCTTCTCACAAGGTCCAGAAATAAAAAAAAATCTCCTCAATAAAAGTTGGATAAAGGCCTCGAAATCTTTACAATTCAGTGCATACGATTCAGAAAAGGAAGATGGCATTTAGATTTATAATGTAAGAAAAAGGGAGACCCATTCAGTTTAACAAGACAGAGTCACCCTTAAAAAGAAGAAGAATCAAAGCAGGCAGGCCAAGAAGGTGCATTACATTAGTAAAAGTTCAACAACACTCGAGCATTATTTGTATGCACCTTCAATGTCGTCCTCTTTTTTGTGTTTGACGAATGAAATAAAATGTGTTCATGAAAAGATGATGATGAAGAACGGCAAGAGTAAAAGCATACGAACGACGGATTTCAATGTATGTATTTAATGTGAATGTCTTTCCTTTTGTGAAGATTCTTCCAATGCTACTGTAAGATTTAAGACATTTTTCAACATTTCTGCTCCTTTCTGCGTCTTTTTTAAAAATCTTATTGAAGGCAAACTTAGAGTGGAAGCAGTAGTCACGTAGCATTAGTATGTACAGAAAATAAATTTGTACGTTTTCCCAGCCCAGAAAATGCTCAGCTTTAAGTTAGTTAAGTTCTTATCATTAAAAGAACGACACATGGGTTTGATTGACATTTGTTATGGTATATATATCCGAAATAATCTATCCAAGTATGTAATACAACACATATGCCATCACCTTTATAACTTGCATCACCACAATGACAAATTAGGAATGGTTCCGTGAACTTTAATGGGATCTAAATTCCACCAATTCTTCAAACTCCATTTTCTCTTAATTACTTTCTTACTTGGATGTAAAGATCTTCTACATGGATTTAGGAATGAAAAGGAAGCACAGATTTGCCTTTTTTATAAATTTTATTAAGGTGACCATTAAAGAACACGGCGTATATAGCACCATCACCATCATCACATAGACCGCAGTGCAATCGGCACATCTTTTTATATGAGATTAAACAACAATAGTTGCTGCTGCTTATGCGGTTCGGCATCAATGAAAGAGTTATAAATTACCCGTACAATGATCAAATGAACAAAATGGAGAGTGAATGAAATCTATTGAGCAGAGAGGAATGTAATGATTGGCCACAATTGTTTGCGGTCAGTCAACCTTGCCCCTTGCTATTTAATGCGAGATGTGTGGATTAGAATTTAAATTCAGCCTGTTCAGACTGATGTTGGGTGGATCCATTATTTTATATGCACCAATTTTATCATGTCCAATAGTTAATGCACCGCATTTTTATTTGTATTTTGGAAACAGAATGGAATGAATCTCCTTGTGGACTTGGACCAAGTTTATATCAAAGTAGATTCAGAAGTGTTTTATGCATTGAACTCGTCGTCACAAGGGAATTTGTAACTCGGTAAAAGTCCATTGTTCAGAGGCGAGTAGATGCATGCAACCGAATGAAAACTGAGGATGAGCCCTATGACACATTTGGAAAGGATAAATTAAAATTACAAAATACTGATTAACTCAATGATCTACAATCTGACAAATTATTGATATGCGTGGTCATTTTCTGACTCTGGACATTTCAAATTTTAGAGAAATAAATACAGCTATTATGTTGCTGTATGTTGCTGAATGCATATTATAGTTAAATGTATGACTTGATATCCCACATAAATATATTTACAAAAATTTGTAAGGCAAATATTTTGCTGGTATACTGTCATAGTATTTATTATATATTATCCGGTGAGACTATATCACATTTCAACTTATTCGTGTAAAATTTATATAAAACTTACGACTTAAAAAAGTAATATAGATGTATCTGAATTAGATAGAGGCTAACACGATGACCATCGAGGCTAAGTTTCTGGTCCATTCCTTTGAATTTTTTCTAGTAACATTTGCATTCTGCTGGCCATTACGGGCTGACCGAATTTATTACGTTTGGAATATGCTTTAAAATTCGATTTTCTTTTTTCTATGTTCTCAAGCTTCTTGGTCAAATCTGCTTGTTTTTTTGCCTGAGCTTCCGCCTTCTGAAGAACTGCGGCCTCTTGGCGTTGCTTCAACAAGTCTCTGGCTTTCTGGAGAGCTGTAAGTTTCCTCTGTTTATTACTCCCTAAAATTTAGTAATTCAAAACTTGGTATGAGTTTCATATTATCACAAGTAAGGGTGTATAAGTATAAAAATTAAGTCAAAGACGCACCAGTACTTTGTACGTCAGGCGACGACGGCGACGCTTTCTTTTCATATTTATTAGGTCTGGAATCATTGTGTCGATGATGAAAAGTAGATGGCTAAAAATAATATAAGAAACATTAGTATAGCACAACCAAATTGCATTGCAATGTTTTTAAAGGGATCACAAAAATACTTATTACTCTTTTAAAATCTGCTGACACGTTCCATGAACTTGTGGCGACTGGTCGTCGTGATGTCGTACCATGAACATTTTTCCGTACAAAATGCTTATTTCCAGATTTGATCTTGCTTACGTTCCAACTGGACGTTCCAGATTTTTTTACCGTGGTCTTGTCCATTTTTGTCTAATCCGTCTACAAGTGACAAATATAAATATTTTAATTGTAATTCAAGAAAACTCTGCTCGCTGTTTTACTTGAAGTCTTTGTAAATGTATATATACATACAACATACCGTTAAATATGAACCGCAAATTGCCGATGTAAGTGATGTAACATTTTCCAAGGAAAACGTTACATCACTTACATCGGCAATTATAAAGACTTGACTTGTACTGTTAAAAATTTCTGACACCAATAAATAGCAAGTCTGATAATAAACTTTCAGCAAAAACTAACCGACACTGCTAATTTTGTGCCAGACAGCCTCCACTTAACACACAGATCTCGAATACTTCTCTAATTAATCATGGACAAGTTTAAATAGTTAATTCACTACAATTATAAATTCCAGTTGATATAAACTTGCATTTGAGGTGCTAGGAAATGAACTCCTTACTTTTAAAATTAGATTTGATATCTAAAAGCAGAACTACAAAAATTGATTAGTTAGAAATTTGTCGTGCTGACAGACTTACAAATCAATCACTATTTAACTACGGTTCCGCACGTTAATAAATAAACTTTTATCTACACGTGCTTCTGGGTGACTGAAAAGTAGAGGAATTTGAGAGGCTTGCACTCTCTGCCACCAAAACGAAGTGTAATTTCGAGCAAGTTTCCATCTCTGCGGACGAGAGGGCCATCAAAGCATCAGAGTTGGATTTGCAGTACAACTTCATCAGTTATCATGACGGGCACAAAATAATATGTCGTATGACGATATGATAACCACTCCCACGTAAAAGGAGAGTGATAAGGTTTGCAATGAATGTGACTGATAAGGCAGGGAGATGAGGATGGACATGAACATTGATTACTTTAGTAAATTGGTGAGCTGACTTCATTCGAATTCAATGAGACAAATTGCACAAGTAAACTACTAAATCATAATAACATCAACTATTCCATGTTATTATGTATAATTAGATCTGCCGAATACATGCTAATAGATTGCTATTGATATTTGCTCAAAGAAATATCGATATAATCAATCTGCTCTTCTGACTCAGTTACACGTGAAATTATAGAATCTGTTTGCTGATTCCATTCGAACTTCAAGGTGATTCATTCATACTTGTATTTTGGAGGTATACTTTCGCAAACAATGCGTGAGTGACGCACTTGTCAAAATACGTCATTGATTATATACTCACACTCACATTACATTAATGTGAACTTTTATTTTAACGACTTTAAATTTGCGACGTCATCCAAATGCAAACGTCATTAACTGGTACTTAAAAAACTTGAATGACTCATTCTTATGATTTTATTGATAGTTGCAAAATTGGTGACACATGAGCTCGTATGTTAGAGCGTCATCTGTAAAACTAGGAGCAATGCCTCCTTCTTCCAATACGGACACATTTCAATGATAATGATTAAGAGATTAGTGCAATAAGATATTTTAACTAGGCCAAATGCAATGCAATTGATGGGAAAAGTATGCTCAAAAATTTGGATGGAAGAAAAACGCTTGGCTTAACTTCTACTGTGCGGCTCAACTTTATTGAATTTTTGTTTTTGGAAACTATGTAATTTTTTTTCGTATTTACATAGCTATAATTAATTAATATGATGACACGCAATGGGAAATAGTAATTTGCTTAGATTTTTTTGATATCGCGATTAAATACTATAAAATGCACCATTCTGAAAGTAATAACTGACACGCATAATAATTATAGTTTGTGATGACTGAGCTAATGATCATGCAACATCCTCAATCCTGACTGGACTAAACAAACGAAATTCAATTGACATTGTGACCAACTCCGAGAACGGATCAATAATAGCATTACTGCAGCAATCCAATTTCGTTGGGAAAATATGTCGCCAACGATCTGATCTAGATGAATTTCCTCCCATGGCTCATGAAAATCACGGATCTCGGTTATTTTATTGACAGCTTGTGCGGCCAGGTTGGACATAAAAATGTCAGCTTGCATATATGTTTTTTTATGAATTGAATATTAATATGCCGCATAATAAGTGCATAAGTAGTATTCTGGAAGCAACAAGTAATCGTTTATTACAAACTGTTGTGTGAACTTTTCGTCTCTCTGAACTTTGCATGAAAAGGTTTTAGATACACAAACTCAGATTCGGATTCACAATCAATGAATCTGCATTCAAATAGAATTTTGTCATGAAAATGTAGGTGTGAAATGAGAGCGGCCCATGATTCTGAACCACTGCTTTTAATAATACGTCACATTGTCTAATCTTGTAATTCTTAGGAGGTTTTAGATCACAAAGATTTCTTCTTAGTCTCTTATTTGCTTGTCATGTCCCGATTTTGGCTGTACAACACAAACAACTTGGACAAAAAACATGCCAGATTCACTTTGCGTCTCACTCATGGTAAATACACGTTACCATCTCTGCAAGTAACTTGCTAACTGTTTTGCGCAAAACAAGTTCCAGTCGGATAGATTTGTCATCAGGCCTCATGGGGCGCTGGATGGATACTGCATGCAACTTGTCCAAACCCCAAAAGAATTCAATCCAACGTATATGTCTCAAAACATTTAGATTTTTTGGCAGGAGAACAGTCTCACATCCAGCATGCAGTGTTACAGCGTGCAAGTTGTTTTAATGTGGTTTGCTGTGCAAAAGTCCAACAACTCTGCAGATCTTGTGCATACTTCTCATCCTCAGCTCGATACGGGCTAAGTAAGTACACTGCATCTCCTATTCTCTTCTTACTCATACACAGTCGTCATTAAACGAGAATTGGTTTGTTGGCATGAGTGTATAGCTGTTTTGTATGCTAACAATCATGCCATTCGCTTATCTTGTCTGCCTCGATTTGTTAGGCAAGTAATGTTGAGAGTAAAGAGCATCAGCTTTTCGCCAGGATGATGCATAAGCCCAAATAGCTCTACTACTCGCACGATCATGACACGAATGCCCTTGGTCTCTCCGTAAATATTTATATTTAATAAAACATTCTCTTTACCGTGAGTCTGACGGAATCCTTCATAACCATTATTCTACGAGGACTGCTATATGCTTTCGTAGTTTTGTACTGTAACGTAGCCACACATATGCAAATTTGCAAACCTTCAGAGAAGCTAATTAGATAAAGCAGTATACTCGGTGTACTCGTGGTTTACCAGTTAGTTGTGCTTTAACTTTCCGGCTGTCATCCGGCGATAGTGGATGTCGACGTGTAATAGTACATGCAATTGCAATTCTTTGTATATAAGAGTTGTGTGTGCCACATACTGAGGTAGTTGACAGCAGTGAAGGAAGGAGAGGCTCCCAATTAGTTGCAATATTGCAGTTTTATTTGACGAACATTTGTGCTCGATTGTTACAATCTGTGACTATTTTTAATTAAAGGGAATTCAATTTTGAAGCTATTTTATCACTCGTTTAATTTGTTGTTCCGTGCTTGAATTGGTGGAGATAACTTTGAGAACTCAAGTGGTAAGGATTTTAAACAATGCCTAAAATTATTAAATGGTGTTAGAATAGGAAATTATGCTGGTTATTATTATATTTTGCAATGGAATACAAGCTGTAATATTAGTTAGTATTAGTGCATTTTACAACTCTTTCCATGAGGTATCTTGCATTATATTTACGGCGTGGAAATATTTTAGGCTGGGCGTTTACCATTATTTTATTAATTCCGTCATGAATTTGACCAATTCTTATCAAAAGTATGCATTACACTGTATTGGATGACGAATGGTCGAGAATTAATAATCATTCCAATTTCCAAGTAGTTGTCAAAAAAGGAAATTCGCATAAAACCTTGGCGTGCATGCCGGGTTTGCATTGTGCTCTTGAAGTCATGCGAGATTCACATGTAATAAGGCAATGTTGACGGCGATTCTAAAACTGCAATTAAAATATCCACTGAAATTAGCACTAAATGAATGGTTACAAGGGTATTAAAATGAGACTTCTTTACATAATTGAAAGTCAGCCCTGAAAGTAAAATGAGAAATGAGAAATTGCATTCTTATGATTGCTAAACAAATTCTGAGTGACACGGCAGCGTCATCTTGCTAGTCTCGTAGGCCCGGTTGGCCGCATGCCTTTTTTACTCCTGGCATTCTACGACTTCTTCTCGGTGTGGTTGGACTGTGGCGAGATTCTCCCACTATTTTTTCTAATTTCAATTTTTAAGATTTTTAAATTTTTCATTTTTTGAAAACGATTTGGTGAGAGAGTTTCCCCATAGTCAGGATCACATTTTTCACTAAAAAAAGTAGGGACTTTTAGGTTTTTGAAAAGTTTAGAAGGAAGGTGTAAAAGTTAGGAAGATAACGACCAAGTTGGCAGTAAAGGTTTAGAAGAGGCTTATCAATCAATTGGAAAGGTAAAGTTAATTATTAGTTTTGTGGTAAGAGTCATGAGAATGACATGTTAATAGAGTAGGTACAAAGTTGAATTGATTGACAACATTGGTTGATTATTTTTGTCCAGATTAGGCTCGTTCGTTCGTTGTTCACTAGTGATAAGCTCAACAAACACAGTGTGCACTGGTCAATTTTCTCTTCTGGCCACTTGTTCATGGTTTATTCTCAAACGATAAATCTAGTTTTTTGATATTTTATTAGGGTTTTTGTGTCTAATTGAATACAACTCTTATCAAGTGATAAGGATTTGTAGAGAGGAAGGACCCGGTATATATTATTTTTTGTTATCATCAGAATTAGTCATGGGTGACAGTATCGTTAAGAGAGCTTTTACATGTTAGAACATCTTGTGGTACAGGCTGGCATAAGTTACTTATGCTTTATTGCTAGAATTTATCATCAGTTGTTACGAACCAGGTTGCAATACGCATACTAATTTTGCTAATTTGTTTTATTTGACGCAGCAGAATGTATCCCAACAACTCGAACAACCCCCCGTACCCACCGTACAATCAGGCGCCTCAGTATCCACCTCAATACCCGCCGCAACAAGGTGCTCCATCGGTAAGTCATTTTATATCATTACTAATGATTCATTAGTCTTCTTATGACATTGTGGCTGAAGCACGGATATTTCAATCCTTCTCGCCTTGTGAATAAATATTTTTAACTGACTTTAAATGAATTTTTAATTGTGTTTACCCTTCCAGGCGTGCCCTTATCCGACTCAACAACCGGGCTACCCACAACCAGGGGGCTATCCGAGCGCCGTTCCGCCATATCCACAACAACAGCAGTACGCTCCCCAAGGATATCCATCAGCAGTGCCACAGGCAGGTTATCCACCAGCAGGAGGTTACGGATCTGCACCGGCGTACCCCCCTTCTCCATTTGGTCAAGCTCAACCATACCCACCAGCGACTGCATACGGCCAACAACAAGCTCCACAGGGTTATCCACTACAAGCCTCAGCTTATCCAACTGTACAAGGCTATCCGACGCAAGCAGCTGCTTATCCTACTCAGGTTCAGGCTTCTCAACAGTTTGCTCCCTTGTCACAAGGACACGCTGCTCCTGCGATGAGTCATCAGCAGATGGAGGTACAATTTTTTGTCTCTTAATTTGACATTTGGATATTCTTTTTTTTAGTTCAGAGTCCTAATTATATTTTAATTCAATTATATTTTAGGGTTCTCCGAGCATCCGCCCGCTTGCTAACTTCAATCCAACAGCGGATGCGGAAGGACTCAGGAAAGCTATGAAAGGATTTGGCACTAATGAAAAAGCGATCATTGACATTTTGACTAAGCGGACGGATCCCCAACGTCAGCAGATTACCGTTGCATACAAAGCGTGTTATGGGAAGGTAATATTTTGAGTAAAGTTTAATAAAATATGCAAAAATGGATAATATATGATCTGCATGCATTATTGTTATTAATTAATTTCACAGGATTTGATCAAAGATTTGAAGAGTGAGCTGGGAGGGAAATTAGAAGATGTAATCATTTCTCTGATGACTCCGCGAATTGACTACTTGGCTAAAATGATTCATAAGGCAATTTCTGGAATTGGAACGAAGGAGTCTCTTTTGGTCGATTGTCTGTGTACTGCGTCTAATATGGAAATTAGAGCAATTTGCGCTGCATACCAAAAACGTATGTTGTTATTTTTATTTGTATAAAGTAATGACACAATATGATTATATATTTCATTTACTTTTTTTAGTTTTTAACACTCTACTTGAGCGCGACTTGAAAGGTGACACTTCCGGGCATTTCATGCGATTGTTGGTCTCTATTTGCACTGGAAGTAGGAGCGAGGATACTTATGTCAATCAAGCTATGGCTGCTGAGGACGCGCAAAAGTTGCTTCAGGCTGGTAAGTTTACATTATGTATAAGTTAATCAATTGATTTTACCATTTTGTTTACTCTCCTGCTATGAATATGAATACTAAAAACATGTTTCTAAATTATGTTACTCATTCTATGGTTTATTGTAATTTGCAGGTGAGAAGAAGTGGGGAACAGATGAATCCGTGTTCAACATGATTCTTGCAACTCGAAGCTATTCTCATTTGCGCATGGTTTTCCATGAATATGAGCGGATTTCTGGACATGGCTTTGAACGAGCGATTCAAAGTGAATTTAGTGGTGATGTTCAAACTGGGATGATGGCAATCGGTAAATTAACTCATGAATATATTTTTTGATATGTGGCAAAAAATGCTCACGGTGTTAAAATAATCATGATATTTTATTACAGTCAAGTGTTCTAAGAATCGGGCAGACTACTTTGCCATGCGTCTTCACGAAAGCATGGCCGGGATGGGGACCAAGGATAATGATTTGATCTTCCTTATAGTATCTCGGGCTGATATCGACTTGGGGAGCGTCGCAGCCGAGTATCACCGCAAGTATAATAAGGCGTTGGCTTCTGATATTTCCGTAAGTAGTTACATACAGAGGCTCGATAAACACATTTTAGTCATATAAATTTAACTATAATTTTTTCTTACTTTTAGGGGGACACTTCAGGCGATTACAAGAAAGTTCTGCTTGGCATTCTTGGAATGTAATGCTCAGATGTCAACCTACAATACAATCCGATCACACAAGTCTGGCGTACATATTTCTGTCCCTGACAATTTTATATTCATTATTTTATTCTATATATCAATTTTTTCTTTTTGAATATATTTTAATTCAAAAGAAAGTCCTTTTGGCTTTGAATTTTGTATGAATGCATCCTATGATTTGACTAATTTTTAAATCCATACGTGTTCTAAATGTTTTAACGTGACAAATTTATTCCAATGTTGTTTTATTTACCTCTCAATACTTCTCAGACAGAAAATGTATCTTCTATGTTGGTATGTTTTGCTGAACTTTTGTACTATGAATTATAGATGTAATTTAATAGTTAGAAAATGGGAACTTGTGACACATATGTAAAATGCTATTTCCAACTTGTAACAATGAACTACACCTACAAGTTCTCTTTTCAGTAAATCTCAAACTACAAACTTAAAAAATTCAAGTTCTGGAAACTTTGAATGCAACCATTTTCAAAATGTTCCAAATTAGAAAGGTGTGTATGTTTTTCGGTTTTTTCGTATAACTTCAGAGTAGGCAAAAGTATGTAAACCTTAATATTTTTAGGCAATATGTTCTTTAGCTGTTTATGAATGAATGACTTTACCTTTTTACATGTTATGAAAAGAGCAATTATCCAATTGTACAACTATTTAATCAAAAGAGCAGATGACAAATTTCAGTAATAAAAATGCGACATTGAATTATAAAACTAATTTGGTTTCTGATGGCATGATTTATTTTTAAAAGTTTACAACTGTGACACCATTTATCTAAATACTTACAGGATAAAACTTTCTTGAGTCATAAAGTTGTATGTATCATTTCAACAAAACCTACATTAATATTAGCAATAGTCGTCTTAAGATTATATTTTATCTACTCAAGTGTAGTACATTATCAGCAGAATATAATGAAATACCGTACTTACAACGTTATACAAAGCTAAAAAGCTTTGATAATTTTCCTCCTCGTGGTTCTAAAATGACTTGGACTAGACAATAGTAAGTATCTAAACATTTAGTTTGTGTTCTTTTTCCTCTGCTGCGTCGTTAATCGTTTTTGTCTGTTAAATATGTAGCCTGATCTGGCCTTTTTTAAATAGTATACGACAACTCGTAAATGAATAGGGAAGCATTTAATATGCCTGAATTTAAAATATGTAGAAACAAGTTAATACTAAATGAAATTCCTGAGCATGGTGGCTTGAATTTGTGATAATTACGGGATACCCTGCTGCTGCAGAACATATTTATTATGAATCCGTTCCGAAAATAGTGACATTATTTGTCTATAATTAGGAACGCTGTTTTGTTAATAGTGCACAGAATTCCACTGTCAAAGTAACAAAAAAATAAAATAACACTTGCACGATGAGTCTGAGATTATGTCATTTGTAGAAAGTAGAGTTTAAACTTATGCAAATATTTCGTATAAGTAGATATTTTGAAATCCTTCCATCGTCACCAACCCTAATTGATCAGGATTGGTAAGAAATGGACACAAATAATTGGGGAGAAAGTCACATCGTTTCCACCCCAGTATACATATATGTTTTGTTAAATTAAGTTAAAAGTTACACAGCATTATTAGTATCACAATGGTACTCTTTTACATATATTTATAATTATATGTATATTTAAGCTATTATGTAATATAATAAATAAATAATAACGATCATACATAAATGCATGTGTTGTATATGCACATACATTTGTAATTGTTTAATATTTTCACCTTTTTTCTAGTATGTTTATATGCAACTACTTAAAACTAATAATACTGATAGCCGACTCGGATTAAAATATGGGTCTCATTTCATTTTCTGTAACGTTAACATCAACACATATTAAGAAGTCGGAACGGGGAGAGGAAAATGAGTAGAGTTTGTGTAGCAATTAATTCTGTTGTTACGTTTGGGATTGAGTTTCACTTTCTCCATGAACAGTGCAAGTTTGTTTCTCATTTCCTATCTATCCATCCATCCATCCATCGAGAAGAAAGGGAGCAGTTTCTTGTCGGAGTATTTTCACTCGAGATGTGGAAAGAAGGTGATGATGTTGTTGGTTTGAACTGATACTAAAATGCTGCTAGTTTTTCTCATGGACCGTTTCTAGACCATAAAGTGAATGATAAGAAGGCAAATAGAATCCTGGCGCAGCGGAATATTGAGCTTGGTGGTAATTGTCTGTGGGTCTGACTGGCGAATAGGTAGAGGCGAGTCCCAATGGGTCGTAATGAGATCGTGCCATGCATGGATATGACGAGGAGCTAAGAACCACATCTGGATTCCCGTCCCGTTGCAGGCAGTGAGCCCCGGATGTTGTGACCATCCCTCCAGGCCCAGAATTCCCCATCATGCTCCCATGACTTGTGAAGGGGGCCACGGCACCAATCCTGTGCAGGAAAATACAACAGAAAAACACAAGATTAGTCTCATTCTGTCTCAAGACGATAGCAAGAAGTTAGTACCCGTAATGGTCCGAGGGTGCATGAGTGCTTGGAGGATGGATCGGGTAGACGGAAGAGTGGTGAAACGCGTTTCCGTTTGTGATGACCCTTGAAGGAGAAGGGGGTGGTGGTTGTTGGTGACTTTGTTGCTGGTGGTGTTGTTGCTGTTGTTGTTGTTGTTGCGAGTGTGGGGGTGTAGGCTGCGAGGATGGGTCACCAGGCCGGCGTTGGTTTCTCAGTTTCTCTTCACGTCTCCATTTTGCCCTACGATTGCTAAACCAAACTTGTATCCTTGCTTCGGGCAGACCTGTTAATTTTATACCAAAAAACGAACAGTTACATCAAAATATTTAAGCATTATTGCACTTTTAAATGAAAAAATATTGTCAAAGATGCGTACCCATACCAATTTTGGAGGCTAATCTCTCTCTTGCAAAAACGTCTGGGTAGTGAGTACGCTCAAACTCTGTGAAACAAATAATACAAGTGGAGGTCATGATTAATGTCCAGATTATGTACTTATAGGAAATTATTAGAGTAGAAACTCTGGCTGACCCAACATTGAGTATTAAACCAATAATAGAACAGTGGTGGTGAATTGGCGATATTAAAAAAAGTTCTATACGAAATAATAACACGCAATGCAACAACTTTTGTCCAGCTCGATTACTAAGTAAGTACACACATGTGCAGTGTACGTAATGACCACGAGTCCGGAACATGTACAAGCACATCTAGGTATTGGTCGGTGGGTACTACTCCTAGTGGTCATTTTACATGTAATAAGTTGCTCATGCCCCATCATCATCCCTGTGGAATGGCAATAACAATAAGAAAACAGCTCTCGCTTTTGTTCTCTCTCTCTCTCTCCCAAGAGGAAGGAAATGGATTGACGGGATCAGCCAGATCGGAGTAGTGGTAGCCGACCAAATCCCAGCAAACCACCGAGAATAGCATGCTTTAAAGGATTTTGAGGAGAAAATGTTGATTTCGGTCAACTTTAGTAATCATTTAGATCAATAGGAGAGTGGTCATAATGGGAGAAGACAAGAAGATTTTACCCTTTTCTAAGCTCTCGATCTGCTCGTTCGTGAAGGAAGTTCTGTTCCGCTGCAGCTTCCTCTTCAAACGAAGCCGGGCCTGGTCGTCGAGGGAGGAGGCCGGACCCTCGGACGCCACAGAACTGTTGTCTCCTCCACAAGGACTCCCATTATCCGAAAGTTGCCCTGAAAGTTGCACAAGCACAAAACAAATCCTTTAACTGCATGACCACCTTGCTTTCACAGGCTCAATATTACATGCACATACATACGTGAGTATAGTTACGTAATAGACAATAGTACACACTATGGTCCCTTCTTCTCTCATACATACGTACGTACGTACGTACTTATAATAATAATGGTCAAGTCTTTCGCGTAATAAGTTTGTGCGTTGCAACGAGGATGATATCATAAAAAATTGGGAGAAATTCCATTGGTATGCCTCCATTTTATAAAACTCCGCCCTCAAAATATCTTAATCAAGTTATTTGAGCATTTCAAAAAGGTAGTCCGCCCCCTACTTCAAAATTCTCCCTGATTAATTCAAAATTCAAATGTGGGCAACATATATTTTCCGTCATTTATGTATCATCACCCACACATTTATACCTTGCTCCAAATTATGTTGGTGTATTTCAAAATAGATAATATTATTTCCATTCAAACTCATTTTAAAAATTTGATTCTAGTCTAACGTATTGTAAAATGATGTACTTTGCATTCCTCCTTTCTCTCTCTTGTATCTTTTATGCATGGATATTTCGAAATTCCATTATTTCTTTTTTAGGGGTGTGGGGTGGAAGAAAGAATGTAGGAAGTAAAGGAAAATCCACTCTTTTTCACAAAGAAATGATGACAATGACAACATTAACATCTATTTTGGTTTCATATCTTGTTGATGCGTAAGAGGGCTTTTTTCTCACTCTTTCTCCTTGTCTCAATCCATGGACTTTTCCTTCCCGTCTCGTGCATTGTTTGCTGTTCATATTTATTCATACAGTTCATATTCAATATTCGCCCAAGCATAATGGAAGCACTGGTTTTTTCGTTAAAAATTCAAATGCAAGTGTTATTTCAGGGTTCGTTTAACATTTTGTTGTACGGGAACAACATCGTAGCTTTGCGTCATATTTCATTAAAACTGTAATGAAAACTGGTAATACATTCGGATTTTAGATTGGACCGAGTTCTAGGAGGGTATGTCTGTATGGAGTGCATTATACTGTTTATTTTGAGCAGGGAGAAAGCACATTTGAGCATCTCCGCCCAGGATTATTTTGCTTAGGTAACAACAACATCCATGAAATAATAAATGTGATTAAAACGACATGCATTTCCTTCTCAAGAATGCCACTTGATTTTGGTGTGTTAGGAGGCCGGAGAAAGTGGTGGGTATCGTAAGTTGGCTGCTCGTTGGCTGGTCGTGTTGGGAGCAAACGAGCGGTATTATTATTGGGAGTTGGCAGGAGGCTACATCGCAATGGAGGAGATAACGTTCTCTCCTCGCTCCTAGAATTCTATTGAAGAAGAAAGCATGAGCCAGAGCCAGCCAGCCACCCTCCGAGAAAGGAGAGCGGATTGCATTGCCTCCTCGGTTTGTGAATCGGGTAGCGATTCTCACTCAGGCAGAAAGTCATGATAAAACTCTCACAATCACAAATAACACGTCAGAATTAAACTAAAAACTTGCCAGGCAGAGAGTTTCAATTTGCACCCACCAGCCAACTCACCACCATCATGCAGCCCAAATAACTTGAGTTCTTCTTGGAATGAGGAGAGAGAAAGCAAAGTATGAGCAGTAAACGTGTAATGCTGTAATAGCGCCATCATCCAAGAATAAGAGGAGGAGGAGGAGAGGACACTGATAACAAAGCCGACGTACTTAGCCAGTTACGAGAGAAATAGACAAATGCCCAAGACGACCGAGGAGAGATACTCGTCGTAATAACTGCGACGGTTCTACAAATAAATGTATAATAACAAATGTACGTGAGAGACTCTCGAGCAGTATGTGCATCGTATTTACTTATCAAACTCCATGTGGTTCACTTGCTTTAACTGATTGAACAAAATGACTCTGCATGCTCTAATATTCTCCTTCATTACGGGTGTGGATTATGATCTAATGAATACCACATACATACTTTTGGTGTTGCCATTATTTAGATTCTGCAAGGAAAACAGGAAGAAAAACGGGGATAACAACGTTTCGAACTTTGTAAAATATCTGAAACACACCTTAACTATAAATGCGTGTCAAGTTGAAATGTTATCCTCTTTGTCAGCTACACCGCTTTTGGAGCTCTTTATTCCAAACAACAAGCTCATAAATGGGCACACCTCATGTGAAAACATAATAATTTAAAATGACATGAGCACATCAGCCTCAAATAAGAACCATTCTTTTCAAATTTACTGCTTTTCACTGGCAAATCTACCCGACAAAACAGGCCATCCCTTCATTAGTTATTAGTCTCAAATGTATGATGACAAAACCAAAACGAAATACCGACCGACCAACAAATACAACAAACACACAAGCAACTGAGCAAGGTGGGTGGAAATAGGAAAGAAAAGAAAGGGAATGAATGACAGATGACAAAGAGTGACTTATTATTCAAAGTTCCAGTGATTTTACAAACATTTTACAAACTAAAGAGAACAGATTTCTCAAAATGAAAACAAAAATTGACTCTACGAATTTATTAAATGTTTCCATCTTGCACATAAAATTTTGACATTACATTGGTAATAAATTTTTGCATCATCAAGATGAGAGATAGAAGTATGTAAATAACAAATTACGCAACATCAAAAGTTTCATGGAATGTGTCCAAAAATCTATCTACTTATGTAAACTGAATACAAGATTATTTTACAAACTTCCTCATTCAATCAAATGAACCATCATGATTTACATTGTTGGGAAATGTTCCCCATCCAAACAGGCAAAGCATGCAGTGAGAAATTACTCGTCACAACAGTAGCAGTGCATGAAAAATATCAGTTCAAAACCGTCCAACCCAGTTAGCTGTTTTTGTTGGAAATGGGAGAAAAGACGGCGAAGGAGACAAAAGCGATCCGCGTCGTACTTTTATTCTCAGGTCTCAAAGAAATTCCGCCATTGTCTGCCCATTGTTGAACTGTCGTGTGGATTTCTGCCGTGAATTCTTGGGTCGACGTCGTCGGCTGGCTCTACCTTAATCTATGATCTACTCCTCTGCACCCTGAAGCGCAGAGTACTCTGAAGTAGTAGTCGTAGAGCCAAAGACTTTCCTTTTGGGTTGATATCTCACTAAATCCATTCAAATGAACTCTCTCTCTTTAACTGAGCCAACCAGCTCTTCTGCTGAATGAGACAAGTTCAACTTGAAAATTGGACCGTGTCTTCAAGAAAAGACAGATTTCAAACGATGATCTCTTTTACGCTTCACTTGCTCCCTTCTCATTTACTTCTTCCGCAAACAAGTCCTTAAACGTGGAGGTACAGCAGGCCGAACAAGTCGTATCATATCGTCTAATTGAATTCAAGCCCCAACGACTATTATTATTTGAACAGCTTATTTCCACAGCTCTAGGCTCACAAAATTCGCGTCCACCCACAACTATATACGTAGTAAATACATGTTTAAAAAATTGCGATTCTCCCATTTACTTAATTGCCTAAAATCTTCAGAATACATTCCGCACAAATTTGTCGTTATATATTTTCAATGTTAATTTATCGTAAATCAACCAAAAAATCGATTTCCTTGGACCCACTCACTTATGAGAATTTAAAATGAGACAGTGCATTTTTCTACTACTCGGCCGTGTAGCAATTACGTTTTTCTTTCAGACAACCCCATTGCAACTTGGAATCAATCAATAAGTTGAATCAAAGGAACGGAATGGTAAAGCTGCTCCCTCATTTTTTCCACTATAGAAGAGCGCATATACATAAAATACTCAGGCCGAGGAGGAGGACGACGAATCAGAATAAAGTGAGTTGTAGTTGCATTGTATTACAAAAGTTATCAATCGTGCATGCATGTTTGTGTGTGTGTGATGCTGATGTTGCTGGTCGGGATGATGGGTTCCATCCAGGAGAAGAAATTCGGTCGGTGGGGTAGTATCAACTGGTAATGCAGAGATTTACTTTTTGGAGTCGAATGCAGTACAGAATCCAGATCCTTCATCGTCGTCGTTCGTTCGTAGGGATAAGGCGTTATTCACACTCAAATGATTTCATTGCAAAAGGCACATGCACATTTCGCTCTCACATCAATTGGACAAAAGAAGTGCTGTTCCATTGCATTATGTCCTCCTTTGAGCCAAGTGCTGACAATCAGCTTCGCTATCCTCAAAATGTACGCGATATAATATACAACATGCATGCACACAACATGGCATAACCGAAGAAGAGAAGAAAACTTTTCTTGGGGCCACGTTAAAAGAGAAAGATCCCGATTCTTTCTGGTTATAAATGCTCCTGGATTTTATAATTCCTTTTCCTAAAGAGGGGAGAGAGTTGACGTTTGAAATGCGTAATAAGTACGCAGAAATAAAAATGTGAGTGACCGATCTATGCAAACCCTTGACCATGTATGTGTATGTGTAATTAAGTAATTCATCCATGCTAGTCATTAGCATCCAATTTATCTAGTCGAGATTCAGTATTATACGAAATATTATATGTATGCAAAAATGATAACTGGTAAGAAATATGATTGGTTGATGTATTTACAAAGCTAAAAATTAAATTAAGCAAATCTGGTGGAATTGGGATCAGCTTCTTCCTCCAACCCAATCCGATATGGTGACAATAAAGGTTTAGTTTAGTTGTACACTTGGGACACCTTAAAAAATGGAATAAGGGTGGAAAGTGGGAAAATCTGTTGAGCGAATAAGGCTTATTCCATTCGAGTGATAATTCCTCCCTGATGAACAATTTATGGTCTCATCTGCTTAAGCATATCATCACCAACCCAGCCAAGCGGGCAGACAGGGAGGAACCAAATCATCTCAATCTTTCACTCTTTGTCTTCAGGATATCCTCCAACGAGAGAAAATCAGTTAATCAGGAAACGATTCCTCTTGTTTTCAACCAGCTAAACCGACTCTGATACACCTTGTTATTTACTTACGTACTCGTTGTCCTAACCAACTTAATACTTGGGATTTAACCCATTTACGATGTTGCTCCTTTTAGGTGTGAAACTGACTATAGACCAAAAACCAACACCTCTTCTATCCTAAAGATGACTCAAATCTGATCAAAGCCGTGTGGGTCATTGCAACCTATGGCTGACTACAAATTTGGCGGATATAATCCTAGGACGAAATAGGTATATTCTTGGTTTATGTTGAATTACAGATAAAATCCTATCGCCACTCATGTCCTACATTCTTTGGCATCGGAACTCATTCGAGATAAACACTACTCCGCACCTCCACACATAAGAATTGACGCTGTGGGTGTTGCTCATGGCTGAACAGACACAAAATTATAAATCTTTCAACAAATCAAATCAATCCTAGCATAAATCCTTTCTTTTGTGTTAAGTAGGAGCAATGCATAATCTCCTCCTGTTCATCCATGCCCATGAACACATTTCAATTGTTGGTTTCAAAATATAAAGTCCAAACACAATTCAATGATGACCAATGAAACCGCATCACCCATCCGAAACCAGACCAACAACACTCATCATTCCTTCTCTTCCTACTTGTGAGATGGTCACCAGGGACTCATAAATATTTCCATTTGCGTTTCCCTTCGACTACATCACCAATTCACACCACCCTTGTGTCAATGTCTTTATTCTCTGTTGGGTATTGATGCAGGGATGAACAGGGATTTAATTGAATTTTGTCATAAAACATGATATTTTGGATTAGTGTATGCTTGAGTGCGGCCAAACAGTCATTATTAACAAAAGATTGATGCACAACTCAAATACTAATTTTCAGTAGTCCAGCATGTCTGCCACAATAAATGTATGTGTACAAGTAGAAAGCGTGAGACTGTGGAGTAAAGTGCCAATAAAATCGCCATTTAATCTTCATTTTTTAATAGAAAAGGATTAAAAAATTGAAAATGGAGCAGAATTGATAATGATGTTTGTTCAGAGAGTGATAAAGTTTTAACTGGCTGCGTGCAGTTGATTTGGACGACAGCTTATATTCATCTTTTTTTAATAGAGACTACTAAACTTAAATTCTTCCAGAATGACTGTGTGGATTGATAAATAATACGTGCGATGGCCTGCGCTGCCAATGGGACAGCTGCCCCCGGACTTTAAAAACAAGTTGAGCCAACCCTTTATCCCTCTCCTCCTCCTTTACGGCTACCCTACACCATCGTCGTCGTCGTCGGCATCATCACAACCAGACAGACAAGAGTGTAATGGTTGTTGGTTAGTGAAGAATTGAATTGGATGACGATGAACAAATAATAAATCCGTGAAGGGAGATCATCAAGGTGTTAATCCGACCAAGCCCTTTGTTTATTTAGGTGTAGACCTTCCGCCGCCTATATCATTATTTATTATCTGTCTCACACGCTCATCTTTTGTGTTAATTAATGGAACAAGCCATTAAATGTTGTTTTAATAGGGAGTTGGTCCATGGGGAAGGATTATGCATATTTAGGAAAATTTCGTCCCGCTGAAACAAATGATTATCCTTGATTTTAACCTCAAGTCACGTTTAGCTAAGCTATATTAAGAAAATAATTACTATTTTTGGTCTTTTTAATTATTTTTTTTACTTTGATTTGATATGATACACAAAGGCTTTGAAGAAATCTTAATTTTAAGCTAGTCCCTTTTTTGTAGGTTATTTCATACTTATAAAAATATGCTCTCGCCATAATTGCGATAGCAGTTCTGCTCGAAGTGTAAAGATTCGTTCTCATTTTGAGTACATATAAACGAAAAAGGATCAAACGGAAATCAGACAAAGAAGAATACGTACAAGAGCACAAACGAGACAGATATTCCGAACCAAGGGTTTGATGTTGCTGACATGCATTGTATTTTGGAGAATTAGTTGTCTGGCTGGGAATTGGGTTGCATATTTCGAAAAATAAGAACAAACATATTACAACTTGTAATATTTAAGAAACACCAGAATTTTTAAATTTATGTTTTCACATATTTCTATGCTTTTATCTGGTTTAAAATATATGCGTAATCAGGATTAGTTATTAAAGTTTATATTTCTTGAATTGCACTCGACATGGAAAAAGCTGAGGCTTTTGTACGCTTCTAACTTTCTCTTTTTTCTCTCTGTCCTCCAGAGTATTACTTCCCCAATAACGCAGAATTATATAACATACTGCACCGATCAGCTTAAGTCAAAAGTGCACGCAACTCGATGAACAAAATCTGATAAAGGATTACATTCTGATTGATACGAGCAGAGTGCAGGTGGTTAGGAATGCGAAAGATTCTTGTAATCAGAACTTGGTCAAAGTAGGAATTTTCAAAAATATGTTGGTCGGAAATTTTAGTAGGAAACCGAATAAATACAATAATGCGTATATATGTAGGTTTATATTTATACGGCTTGGGAGGCTAAACCAGAATAATTTTCTACGCATGTTCATTCATCCAATAATAATGATGGTATTATCCTACACGCAAAATTACAACTAGTCATAAATTGCTTAGAAGGAGACAAGGTCCAGCTGTCTGCATTAAGCCAAGTGCCAAAAATTCATAAAATCAAAAAGTGTAAAAAATCCCTTAAGAAATATCCAGTTCCTTTGGTGCAATTGGCTCCTCCACATCACGTTACTTGGGTGAAAGCCATTTTCATGGATGGTTAGCCAAGTGTGGGATGAATGCGGTGAAATCAGAACTGATTACCTTGAGTGATCTATGAGTCTAATGAAATATTTAAGAACTGAGAAGACGGAGGAGGAGGAGGACGAGGAGAAAAAAGCACGAAACCACTTCTTGATGGATGACTGCATTTGAAAAGTGAGAGCGTGACCGTAAGTTTCATTAAACATTTTTCCTTTGTTTTTGCCGTCACAAATTACGCAAAAATGTTTTAAGAGGGATCGGAGATGAAGAAAACTTAATATTCAACGAACAAGACGATTTCTTAGAGAGAAAGAGAGCAATAAATTCTAATTTTTCTTCACAAGCCTTCATTCACGAGGAAAAATTTTAGAGGTAGAAATTCTAATATTTTTTTACCCAGAAGAAAAATACCAGTCTCTGACTATACCTTTCTTGACGGTGTATGGGTCTATGGGGGATGAGGAATTTATGCATCCGTTAGAATCCTCCGGACTTCGAATTCCACTTGCTCCGTACGAGTTGCAAGAGTACCACTGTCCCCTCGGCCAGTTTTGGTGTCCTCCTCCTCCCAACAGCCTCAGCTTGTCCTGGGCAATTTGATCCTGGTGATCGGATGGACTCATTGGTGACGTAATTATTCCGTCACACGGGTCCTTCCGGGATGATAAATTGCGCAGCACGCGGTTGATAGATGATACCTGCAGTAATAAATAAGAGAATGACTTATAGACATTTAGATAACGGCATTAAACAAAAAAGTTACCAGTTACGCAATCATCCTGATTAAAGCAATAACTTACTTTTATAAGAAATGTTAAAAAAGAGAGTGCATGAATTCACCGACATCACAAGCAATTAACTCACGTTGAGATTCGACAAGCCCCAAATTATTTTCCTCCTCATACTATCAAATTTTACCAACTCTGAGAGGCGGAAGAATGAAAAGGGATCAATTAATATTCAAGCCGTGCTCCACGACTAGAATTGTGCAATACCCAGGGCATGGAAATAGAGGCCCCGACATTTCTGGCATAAATACCTCGAGCAGTGATTACAATAATTCCTTTCCACGGCTACGCACGGGGGCATTAATTTAAATGCCGGGTAAATATGTTCCGCCATGAGTGCCTAAATGTCCCGGGCATGGGCATAAGAACAACTCCAGTCACGACTGCTGGGCTTTGCTGTTCTGAAAAAGAGATTTATTGCAAGATAGGTTTACGGAGAAAGTAGTCAAAACTCAAAATGTTTCATGATCTGGTTGGTTGGTTGTAGTGATACGACATACGTAAGTACATACGCAAATCATGGAGTAAAGGATCATGGGTTGCAGCAGCAGGCGTGCTTGTGTAATTCGTGGATGTGGGGAGAGGGAGGAGGAGGAGGAGGAAGGACGCTCCTCAACCTTTTGAAATGTCATTAGCATATATTCCCCTCTAAATTATTGCAGTCAAGTGGGAACGGGAATTTGTAAAATAAATGCAAAAGTAAAAACCAGCAGCAGAGTCAAAACTTGAGCTGCTCGATAGCAAACCGTACGTATCTATGAGATTTTCGTGCAATGATCCCTCTACACCACATTTTGTGTCAGTTGCACACATTCTGAGACAGTTTTAGATTTTACAAAAAGGTTGCGCCTGGTTTGACCTAGTCATCCCTAGTAATTTCACTTTCAAGTGGAGGATACTTGAAACTTTTTTTGTCTATTTTGCATATTGTACTTGAGACAAAAGAATAATCCCACGTTTCCTGAAAAAGAATAAGAAATGTCAACCATTTCTTGGCTTCGTGTGAGTAATGTGTATTTTTATCCTGTTCTGTACAACACATTTTTTGTACGTGGCGTCATCGCATCAAGCAAAATGTACGAGATGAATGTATGAAAAAATTCGAGATGTGTTTGTTGCCATGAAAAATCCATTTGCCTTTTTCTTACTTTTCTTCTCTAGCTTTAGTAAAAGCGTTACTTTTCCAGAAATCAGAGTGGGACAGAGTGGGACTTTCTCTGTCAAGTGGAATATACATACGTGCATGGGCGCATTTCAACGTCCCCGTATGTATTTACTATAGCATGTAATGGAGTTGTACACACTGGTAATGTGCTATCTCGAGAATCTCGACACTTTCTCCGACAGTAAGTAGTTGATATCACGTTAACTAGTAAAGTGTGATTGAACTCGATGTTTTCACATAGCTCTGCGCGTGTTTACAAGCTGCTTGAGTGTGTGTGTGTAAATGCCATTTTTCTTCATTCGTGAAATGATAAATAAATTAGAAGAATGAACAAACAAAGGAAAAATAATTCCAATCTTGTCCCTTACATTTACAGGATCAGGATCTTATCTTCCATCATATTGAGTAAGACAAAGTGTAATTTCTACTGGAGCAAGGAGCCATTAAATCTTTACATTTTCCTTGTTTACAACCACCATGTTGTGTTATGTTTCATATATATTTTTCCTGCATGCATGACCACCACTACCAGCCCCACTGGCGTAGAGACATCATGGGGATGGATGATGGCCCTCACTTACATTATTGTATGATCATGAGAAAGGCGACGAGAGAGATGAAAGATCGATGAAGATGTCAAAAGAATGTTATAACGCCTTGTCAACTTTTCCTCGCGTCGACCAACTTGACTTTACCACCAAGTAGACCACCACACACCAGACAACATTCCATTCCTCCTCCCTGTTGTCGTCCTCCTTGTTTGAGAGAAAGTCAAAGTCTTCTTCTTCACATACGTACGTACGTACGATCTACTATTACTACGATTCGTTTGTTGTGCTCTACTCCACCAACCAGAAGACAACCCATTTTATCATCAGATTACCATTTCGCCTATTTATTCGATTGGATCTCTCTCTCCAAGAGTACGTAGTAGCAACAAATACGCCAAATGGGATAATAACCACGTTCTCATGGTACATACAAAAATCCTCGCACTTGATTCCGTTCCTTTATATTTATCGCATACTTTCACACAAGTAAATGACGCACAACAAGCAAAAGACGAATGGAACTGGGATGATGACGGTTCTCATTGTTGTTCTTGTAAGACACATACGAGTCCAAAAGTGAGTGGTACACGAAGAAGTAGAAGAAGAAGAAATCAAGGGAGATTGGATTGAGCCATTTGCAATAATCTAACACGAGCTCCTCTCCGCCTTTCTCCAATCCAGCCACCATCACTAAGAAATCAGTTTTCCTCCTTGTAACTTAATTCCGCCTTGTAATGCACTCACAGTAATCCTATATTTCTTATTGAGAAAGTGTGCTTGTTTTGCTAAACTATGTGTGATAAACCCAAATCGAACGACTTTTATAAGCACATTTTAATGTGCATGGTACGTGGATGTGAGGAGCATGTCAGAAAATGTGAAAGCGTTCTGGCAGTATTATTTATTAGAGGAGCGTGTGTACATTTGTGGAAGTACGAGTAAATTTTTTGCAACTCACTGCATGGAGGAAATCCACTCTGACAAATTTGTATTTGTTGGTTTCGGTAAAAGTCTGTTCGCATGATATGATCATTCAGAACATGACCCGGCTTCCTATCCATCACGACCAAATAAATCTGAACGGAGGAAAAAAAACTGTACCAAATCAAATTGAGGACTGAGACGAATCTTGTACATAAATACATCCAGCCATCCAGCCAGCTAGACCCATCGACATCTCACTTTACCAATAATGTGAATGTCTCAATTAATCCGACACGATGCTTTATGGGTTTCATAGTAAAGTTGCCTTTTCGTCTCAAATTTATGATAATAGTTCACTCTTTATGCGTGAAACATGAATTTCACAAAGTCACCGTAAAATGGATTCTATTCCAGTCGACAAAACAATACTGATATGCGAGAGACAAAAGTCAGGTTATTCGCTTCAAGCGACAAATTTAACATTACATGCTAAAATCGAACTTGATGAGTATAAATACATCGTGATCCCTCAATTAGCATAAGTGACGACAGAATATAATAATAGCGACCTTTGTACTTTGCATACGTAGTAAAAAAAAGAGTCATGCACGCTTGTGGGAAATACGGGCAGAATTTATTATTTATTTTTGGACATTGTCTCCGCGGCACCCCACCGACGTCGGGCAGGAAGTATGTAGAATCATAATAAAAAGTGAAGCAGCAGCCGCATCGGTCTGCTGGGACTCTTATTATTCACAAGGGTACGAATCCAGCACTTGGCGGGTAATGACTGATTTCTCGCTGATTAGTAAACCTACAAATGGCACGACAATATAGCTAAACTACTCCCAGCCCTAGAAACAATGGGGACATGGAAGAGAGAGGGACAACGAATCCAATCTGTGGCCCATGAATACAAATAACAATAATCTCTGGCGGGTTAATATGTTCCATCATCACTTTCCTCTCATAATAAAGACGTCGAGAGAGAAAATGAGATGATGATAACTTTCTCCCCCTTGCACAACTTCGGACGACCCGTCAGGCACACAGGGCCTTATCACATGTGCTTCTCAACCCCATAAAATAAATATATCTTGTGCAACGGGACACCAAGCATGCCACCAAGATTGCTATCTATCATATGAAAATTATTGATGGCTGATTTGGTTCCTGATTACAAAAATAAATTGTTGTTTCATGATGTCTCCTCTCCTTGGGCAGAGGGCAGATGAGATGCGACAAGGGAGGAGGAGGGGTCCAAACTGTAAGCAGCATGCCATTCAAGGGCTCTCTCCCTTCATAATGAAATACTTTTTAATGATGATGCCCTGCCAATTAAAGTGTGTTCATTTCTAGTGTTCAAACGACGACAAGGACACAAGACGTAGTATTGAAATGGTGCAAGTTTTGAGGAATTTTCTTTTGTGGACGTTTGCCCAACTGCTCTCGAGAAACGTCTCAAGTTCATACTAAAAGTAAGTATGAAGCTGAATTTTGAGTAATACAGATCGAGTGTAGGGAGCGGAGAGCGTGATTTTTTAAAGAAAGTGGTAGCATTAGAGGAGGGAGAGGTACCCATTTGATTTAAATCCCGGTGGTAGCAGGACCATGTTGGTCGTTGCTTATGCTTTCATGCTTCCAATGTGTGGTATTGATATTGGTAAAGTCGTTCACCAAGCGATATGTGCTGACTGCTGGGCTGGTTGGAGAGTTGTTGCATGGATTGCATGTGTATGCGAACTTCCCAACCAACCAAGTCCGCGATTTCACGCTCGACTGGTTTGATCCATAATGCAAGAGATGTGATAAGATTCTATTTGCTTCATATCCCACACAGTTGGTGGACATAGTAAAAGTACGTACGGAACAGTGGTAAAGTTGCTGCAGTGATGATGATAGCTTCCCTTATGTTACTTTCCTTGGGAAAGGGTACGAACGGAACTACTGTGCATGGGCACGATGGGGGAAAGAACCGTTCAGCATCAACTTTTTTTCAGAAATGAATGCTCTTATACTTCTGAATTGGGCCCAAAATCAAACTTCCAAGAAAGTAGGAGGCCATGGGTGCTGCCATGCAATAGCTCTCTTGCCTGCTTCCTTCCTTCTGCTTTCACTTTTCAGGAGGCACCTGTGCGGCAACTTCTGAGTGCTATGCTATTTTTTTACTGCATGGATACACAACGAGGTGAAATTGTTGTGACGCAATTGGGACGAGAAATATTATGGTGACATTGGAAAATATAAAATTGAATCAAATTATATGCAGTCTAAACGTTGCAATTTAATGCATAGCGTGGATTTGTATAACGGGAAGCATTGAGCATAACGATTGGTCATAAAATGTCGCATGGACGAAATTTGATATTATTATACGGAAGGTGGAAACCAAACAAATATGGAGGGAGGATGTCCAAGTGGAAATTTTGTTGTCTTTTGGACAAAAATCCCTTGTTTTGCTCTCTACTATTCTTTCGAAGAAGGCAAACTTTCTCAGGCCGGGACCATAAGAGGCGATGATGTGAGTGAGCGGTGGTGAATTTTCATGTTGATAGTAGTAAGCAATGCATCCTGTGCTCCGAATAGAAATGAATGAGCAAGGAAGAAATTCAGGAGCCGAGAAGAGCAGCAAACTTTTCTCCACTTCCCCTCCAAAACTTCTGAACCAGGAGTGTCAACTTTTTGTCCGAACACGGTGACGTGACATGACGTTGGACACGGATTGTGACATGGACATGACACGACTTTCTTTCCTTGGCTGTGGGTGATGACAGCTTGTGCATTTTTAGCTCATTCTTATGTTGATCATGTCTCATGGCGGGTGGGTAAGTAACAATACGACTACGACTACCACCAATTCCACCATCGTGGAGAAAGGAGAGAGGGAATGCATGCCTGGCTGCCGTTTTGATGGTGGACAGAATAAATCTGAAAATCCGACTCTCTCGCAAACAGCTCCACTCAAAAAAATAAAAATCTTTTACCGTCTTACTTCAGCCCCAGTTTAAAAATAATAATATTTTGGCGTAAGCCAAGTGTAAAAAGTGTTCTGTGTCTATGTGTATGCTTCATACATATTTAAACAATTGTTGTTATTGGCGTTGTGAGGAGGAAACCTCTCTGGAGAAAAATGATGGTTTCCATTCATGAAGGAAGGATAAAAACTTACACTTGGAATGTTGTCATTTGTACAAATTCCCTCGGATAAGAGGCGATCCCTGATTTCCCACGCGAATATCGACGGACACTCCTGAAATTACAATTAAACATTAATCCTGGTAAAATAATTGTACTATGATAAAAAATAACTCACCCGTTTGTAATTGGCTATTTTGTTCACAACGTCTAACGTTGCGACGCGAGGTTTGCTCCCTCCAATTGCGCGTGGTCTGATCGACCCGGTTTCATAGTACCTGGGAAAACATACAATAAAAATAAGAAACACTGGACACAGTTGTGTGTCAGGATGCCTACTAACTAAACAAGTACAGTCCAGAAGTGTGTATGTATGTTGAGTTCAGAAGTCGCATATGCAGTTGGAATCTCAAGAACAATTATTTTAAACTCAATGAATGATATAATTGTCTTTCCAAATTTAAAAAAACCCAAATTTTGGCCATGTATAGAGTTTTTACGCAATGCTTGTTTGACGCACTTTCAAGCAGCCCAATCTAAGACGACCAAGAAAGAAGCTCTATGTGACCCCTGAACTCAACTTTCACCTCAGGAGTAGACCTACGTATATTAAGTTAATATGGATGATGCAACTTACCGTCCCAATATTTTGGAGACGCAGCCATTGGACACTTGCAATATCCTTGAGATGTCGCAAGGGCGGGCACCGGAATGAGCTAAAAGTAGACGACACATGTCGGATCACGGAAATATTTATACATCTACTTGACCCACAATTCATAAATGCACTTACCTAACTCTACAATTTTTTGTCGCGTGGAATCAGGTAGAGGACGGCCACTCACAAAAACACCGCCTAATTGATTGACTCCACTGTGGCCTGAAATTTTCAGAGAAAGAAAAGAAATTATCATCTCTATTAGATTACTTTATCATCCCGTTTGTGCTCTCAAGTCTGAGTGCGTCATAATTTTTATTAGTATTATGAAGACCTATGAGAATATGGGGTATACCGATCAGTTTGAGTTACCCGTTTACTCTCACTATCCGATTTTTAGCTAGACCTCACGTTTTTTCATAACCTTGTCGATCTTTTTTCATCATCCATGGAACCATTTTGGTTTATTTATTTTTAGTCCTTGTCTACCGTGCAAATGATTTAACCCCAACAAGCAGACACGATTATTGGTTTAACAACTAATGCATGATGTCATAAGCATCAGAAACAGTTTGAACCCTGAGTGGTGGTACATGTTAGATAGTTTGAACGGTTTGCCTATATTGCCCACCAAAAATTTGGGTCCTTCTCTGACTATGACATTTGATTTTATTTCGTTGTGAATGAGTCTGCATAATATGCCTTTTTTAACCGTCATTTATGCATCGCGTCCACACTACCCTGCTTTCTTGTCACCCATTTGTTTGAACAGCAAAAATGCTGAATGCAGGCTGACCCCAACATAACACATCTGCCATTATTTTTCATCATCACAAAAACCACGCCAGATTTAACTTTCTACGAGAGTAGTGTATGCATGCACGGGAGGGACCGGGATGTTGACAACATTCGTTTTAAGGGATCAATGGATGATTACCATGAGTTAACATCTACCATTGTTAGTCATTAGTCCTTCTTCATGACAGCTATTCTGATGGATTTGTGTGTACATGACTGCTGAACGAGGCAAGTTAGTTGCAGGGCAGAGTCACATGATGCAAATTGTATTTGACCAAAATTTAATTCCCGATGGAATTTTATACCACAAATTAAGGGATTTCTGGCTTATCTGATGATCTTTGAACAAAATGTACTATGAAATGTATATATTTATGTTAAAGGGTTTATTCAGTATGTAGTAATAATACCTAGTTGGTTGTCTGCGTGTATCATCGCGTCTCTATCCTTAAAGTCCTGTGGTTAGTTTTAATCCAGAATTTGGCCTTGGAAATCTGGAATAATGTTTAAGATTCTGTGTCAAAGCATCTATATTTTAACCTTAACCTGATATCTCAATAAATACTTTAGTGCGGGTGCCTTTGTATGGACAGAATATTCTTAAAAAACCATTTAGAGTCGCATTGACCTACATAATGCCGAGCTACTTAATGGGTGTAGAGCAATAATGTCGCCTTTAAGATGTGTGATCATAACGGGATAAAAAGATTGAAAAGTGCCAAACTGCTACTAAAGTGAGCTATAAATGACATGTTCATATAATAATCGTTCCTACTCGAGTCAACAATGAACTCGAGAATCTGACACTCACGAAATTATAAAGAACCTTGGGGTGAAAAGTGGATCCTTATTGAATGGAAATAATAAATGCCCCAACAGAAAATCCATCGCATCCAAGTGGTCCAGTCGAGAATCTCAAAAAATTTCATCGCTTTACTACTATTAACTTTCTGAGACTCGTTTCTCCGCCCACTGCTCGACTCGGAAGGAGGAAAAGTCAGACAAGTCAAAAAGCACATACTTTAAGAGAGCCCTACGTACCGTCAGAATGAAGGATAATGGAAATCAATGCAATACCAACAAGCGACTCAGTCAGTACTACCTGCATACTTGGTCTTCATCCATTCCTGCATTCAACTCAACAACAATAACACATTTTTCAAGCACCCAAGTAACTTAAGTTACGCAATTCCATCCATCCATCCATTCTCTCCATTGTGATCTCAAATCAAAAAGCAGAACAGTAAAGAATACAAAAATCGCATGGGGAGAAAGAAGAAGAAGAAGGAGTTTAGATTCTGAGTGAGGCAGTGAATGGAGAATCTAACGATATTACATAAACGACAACGATGACAATTTCACCAAAGTTGCTGCTCCTGGGTAGGTTCGAGAGAAGAGAGGAAAAAAAAGTTGTAAGCTACCAAACCAACCAACCAACCAACCAGCTACCAGCTTCGACTACAAAGAATGTAAATCTCTACAATCACTTTCGCCCTTTTAGTTTTAACTCAACATAACGCACACAACTTTTGACTTTTGATAATATCAACAATAAAAAAGTTGGAGTGCTGGGCTCAGATGAGCCATGCAGACAGTCGCAAAGTGAGACGAGTGCTCGAAAGTAAGCAGATTAACCTTGTGATTTAATTGTGGTGTGGAAACCTGACTCATATGACGTGCATGCATGTGTACATAAATATAATGTAAAACCAACAGTCAAAATTAAGCATGCATCATGTAGTTGACTCATATTTCCCATATTTTCTTTGAGTTATCATGAATGAGTTCAACACAATGGGTGCAGAAGTCCTCAGACTTTCATCATTCAGCAATTATACATATTGCTTAGGTCAATTTTGTTCTTACAACAAATACATGGTCACCCGTTTTCAATTCACAAACAGTGCTGAATGAATTTTGATCCGGAATAAAGAAATGTAAATGTAGAAATTCTGAGAGAATCTGTGTACCTGCACTTGGCACAGCATTTTACCTGAAAAGTAAAACTTTATCCTTTTGAGCAGAGAGGTCAAACTGGTGCATTGTGCTCTTACAACTTGTCCAAAAGCGCCGAGAACAAATTCAATAATGGAACTATTAACTAGACAACACAACTTGACAATGGTTTTTAAGGGTCTGAAACATGGGCGAACTCCATTCATGAGTCCTTGTCGTCTCCTTATTTACACCGCGGTCGGCTTTACACCGTGAGACGAGTATGTTACACATATTTACTTGGGTATATTTCTAAATATGTTGGTGATTGTCTAAGATTTTATGAAATTGAAAATCATTGCGAAATACAATACTTCGATCCCAAGTTCTAAATATGTTTGATTAGATGATTTTAACATATTTTTTCCTACTCAAACCACTCGAATCCGTGTCCCTTGAAAATCAATCAAACCCAACAACATAAGACTAATTGTCAACAATTGGTATCGGAATTTATGTCAGATTTCATACAAAAAACTGTCCTACAGAAAAGGGGATAAGTTTCATAACGAGCATGTACCCTTGTTCAAAACGAGTAAAGGTTTTCCTGGTTGGGTGTTACTACTACTACTCGTGACACACTCACTAAGGTGACGATGATGACGATGGGGATGTTTTAATTCAGAAAGATGTGACATGATAATAGGTACAATAATATAAAATATTGCAGAGTGTCGGGCTCTAATAAAGGTGACGACACGGCCGAGTCGAGGTTTTTATTCTGCTCGTACATAATAAGGGACCCCGTTTGTCAGCTTCACATTCTCATTGTACTCTCGATATTGTTGTGTGCCCAACTCCTTAGTTAACAGTAGTGATGTGAGGATGCTAAGGGATTTGTGTGCTTTGAAAGTTGAAGTCTCACTCACTCGAGAGTCGACACCCCATCCACGATGGGCTGCAACCAACCAACCACCAGGCTATCATTTTTCAATTCTCCTTGTTAGTTGCCACTTATATATTCAACGCCTCCATTTTGCACGGACAAAAGGGCTCTCTTCAACTTATTTAGAAAAATTTATCAATGTAATCTACACCGGGTAATGTTAAGGAGCGAAGAAAGAAGAAGGGAGAAAAACATGAAACATATTTTTACTACTCCTTGTCGTCCCATCGTCATCAGCGTTTCATTATAGATTTTGCCTGCCTGCCTGCCCGTCCCCTTTATGTTCATTTGTTCGTTGTCGCTTTCTATGTCATCATTCACTCAGACCTGCACTGTCATGAATGAAGCGCTTCATGGATATAAATAGCATCAAGAAGACGAGTCTATACACGATAATAAATACTCATTATTAGCCTCGCAGGATAGGCTATTAATTTTACAGGGTTGCTCATCATTAAGAAAATGTCTCCCATCTTGCTTCATAAAAACCCCCCGCGAGATACTTAAACGGGTTGTTTTGCTCTTATCTCTTCCAATCCGGTCCGACACATAATTTATTTTACATTAAAAAAGCATTCAATGTTTAGCCTACAATAATTTAGCGTCTCCTATTCGATGCATTTTGAGAGGAGGATTACATGGACGGAGTAAATAATAAAATGAAGAAACGGAACGTTGGTGATCACGGCCTGACGCACTTTTTCAACTGATGACGAGGAGGCGGAAGGATCGTGGTGAGAGATTCTTATTGTCCAACGCCTCGGAGCGGATATCCGAACTTCAGCCAGGCGAAAAAATGCAGACGTTCCTTTCACCCACTCAATGACTTTTGACAGCACAAACTTCCGGAGTCCTTTTACTACCGAATCCGTGAATAATAAATCCCGATTGTGATTCCTGACCTCTCTCTTCCTCTCTCTCTCACTGGATATTTCCTCATCTCTGAGAGAGAGAAAGGCTGTGGGATCATCAAACAGAGTCTGAACGAATCTCTAAGAAGGGGTGAATCCTGAAATCCGGATGGAAATGGAAACATTTAAATGACCGGGGCTTCATTTTGCAATAGAAACCCGATTGTGATTCAAAATACTGTTTTGGACAAAGGGAACCCAAATTATTTGATGCCACATTATTCGCATTACTTGTTTCCCATCCCATACACACTACGACATCCATGACTCATGCATGCAGTCAAGTTCCGGATTGATTTCCAACCCCATTGTCAGCATAATGTTTATTTATCATTGCTTTATATACCCAATATTATGCATATTTTGAAATTAAATACGAAATTTCCTGCCGTCCCGAAAAGTTTTCCTCCGTAATAAAGGGAGATATTTATAAAGGGAGATAATATTTAGAAAGTAATCTGAATATGAACCTTTTACAACCATTCTCATCCTCTGCAAGCCTCATGAATACGTACTTCCGAACAACACAAAAAACTGTCATTGTCACTCGAAAACCTAAAAACAGAAACTCATAATGATCCGAATGAAGCAGATTTGAATTTTGAATCATCTTTGCTCATCTTCATCATGACTTGGTCTTGTTGTGATTTTGTTTTGTGGGAAAAGTTTGAGGGAAAAGTAATAATGGGGGAAATCGGAATGAAGAAGGTTTTCCGGTATCCCGTCACAATTCATTAGTCGCCGGATCCATTAACTTGCACACATTATAAATACACTAACTATTATATATTCTGGAGAAGATGACAGTGAATTTAATAAAACCGAGGAACAAGGAAGCTGTGTGCGGGCAGGGCCGGTCTCTTCGGAGAATAAACTTGGTTCGTTCGTGTGGCGAACAACAATTATGAACTGACTCTTATTATCACTGCGGAGGATGAATGCTAATGAAGGAAACCAAATATAACCGAATTCATGAATAATCAGAATTAAAGTGGTCATGATGACGATAATGATCATAGTCCAAAATTTGCAACTCGCATGCATAATAAATCCAACCTTTATGTAAGTAACATTGTACATAACAATCGAACGGGGGGTTAAATATACATTCATAAGGTGGACACAATCTTGACACGGCCAATAGTACAGAAATACGAATGTGACGAAGTGAGCAATGACGCAACGGCGGGTGAAAATAATAACTTTCCAATTAATTCTCCTGACCAGAATTAAACCGAGCAAGAGACAAAAAGGACGTCGTCTTTGTCTCTTGTTCGGCTAGTGACTGAGTGAGTGACAGGTTGGTGAAGGTTGTGACTGAGGAAAATAACCTGTCTACTTGTCCACCAAAGAGCAAGTCTTGTTGCTTCGGACGAAGGGAAAAGGGAGACAAACAGACCGATGGATGGGATACGTGGGTGGACTCATTCATCAACTTTATAGCCACCCAAGAGTCATTGCTCGCTGGTCTGGGAATGGATCGGATTATGTAATCAAGGCGTGTTTAGAGATTCGTGTACTAAATAAAATCTGAGAAAGGTGTAACATCTAATTCTGAAATTCCTAACATATTTTTAGCAGTAATAACTCTATGTTTAAGTTAATGAGTTATTATCTTCGCAAATTTTTGTCACCTCATTTGACAAATTTCTGATTTTTTTCCTATGAACATACAACCCGAAGTAGCATGATTCATTATCTATCGTCTTTTACGAACTTGATGAAGACGAGAAAATCGAAATGATTTCCATGTAAAATGCCCGCAAGCAAGCATGATATCTACTTACCTTTGTGAGGCATAGGTTCTGATGAATTGGAACCGGAATGGTGATGGTGAGGGTTTGAGCGATCTGTGGACAATATTCAAGATATAATTAATTGTAATTGCAAGAATATAGGTATTATCAATCTCAAAACTATGAGAATCATGTGTGTTGATGCGCAAGATTAATTAGATAAATGTTCGTAAGACTAATTTTTTGCATGTATCTATTGTTAAGATTTGAGAACAAATTGGTTATATTATAGTTTTTGTAATAGAAACTTGATAAATTAAAGTAGAAAATAGGAAAAATTAAGGGAAAGTAGGACCTATTCAGGACGAATAATCTATATTATAAGCTGGAAATGTTTGTCTGCAACGGAAGTGAAAGTAATTTTCCGTGACGGAAGTTAAAGTGGAGAAAGTTTCATTTCCCTTGCTAACACACATTTCCAGCAAATAATATAGATACAATAAAAAAAATGGTGGAATTAATTATGAACAATCGTACTTAATTTTCATGAAAATCAAATAAGCCCGGCGGGAGACGGGCTTATACGCTAGTAACTTTATAAGTTAATTTCTCAATCCTGTAAATGCATCATCACTAAATTCAGGTACTTTTCATTGCAATCGAAACTACCAGTATCCTCAGTTCAAACGCACTTTTTTCTCATTAAATTCGCAAAATGATACAAGTGACATTCGCAATAAAAGATGGCTTTAATTGTATCATTGAAATGGACCATGATGCAGATTCAACATACATAATGGAGAGAACACGTGAAAATAAAAATAAAATCCGTTAAAATAGAATAAAATAGAATGTTAACCTATAACATTTTAGTGATTATTTATTTGTATGTATATGCATACAACATTTCCTTTATTGCAGAACATACTTATGAATGCGATAATTTTGGTGCAAAAACGTAGATACTTGCAAGTACATAAATATATGTGGTTCTGCATACCAAGAATGGTAACAAAATAGAATTAGCGTTCTCTCCAGAGATTTACATAGTTGGAAATCATTATCATCTCACGAGTCAAGGATATGTACGGAAATACCGCATGTTATTATCAATAAAAATGCACAATTGATCCTACACAATGACAAACTAAAAAAACTGAGCTCTCTTCAGACCAAACACTTTACAAGAATTAAGAATCACTTCAAAAAATTGAAAATAATAGTTGTTTCTCCAATTGTAAATATCTCTATTTTAGATATAAACAAAAGAACCCATCGCCTTGAATAACCGTACCTGTACAGCCCGGCCATGAGGCTGCGGGCGAAAGTTGAGATGCCGGCAGTGTGACGCTTTTCTCACCCACTTTCCCTCCAGGCACGAAAAACTTTCACCTTCGAATCGAATTCACCACCACAAATTACCAGCACGCCAGAGAGAACCAGTGTTTACGACAATTGTACAGATCTGCAAACCCCGAATATTTGAGTCAGTCAGTCACTTTCACCACTAAAACGGATCACAAAGAGTCAACATGAGACAACTTGCTACAAGTTGTGGCGAGCAGTCTCTTGGCCAGTGGTGGTGGTTGGTTACGAGAATAAAGTGAGCGTTTGAGTGTAAATTGACAAGTTTCCTTCCGGTGTGGACTCACTCACTTTCCCTCTCTTTCCTCAAAACCAAGAGACCGAGTTAATGGGCCGAGAAGGAGGATCACTAAATTAACCAAGTGCTTGTATACGAGACGACTCCTCTCTGCTTATTTACTCGTCGTGTGTCAACTTTCCCAAAAAAATATGGCTTATCATCTTTGGGGAATACTGGTGTCTCGGCGGAGGTGGAGATGAGATGAGACGCAGTTGAGCTGTCGAACAGAACTGACGAATACAACCTGTCTCACTCTGTCTCATGAGGTTTGAAGGTGGCCAAAGGTGCTGAGCGGATGATGAGAATCTCGGGTAGTCCAACTTATTGGATGATTCCACTCGGTTGATGATTTGTTGTGGAGTGAGGCCGAGATCAGCCCTTGGCTTTGGTTATCAAGTGAATGTTCAACAGGGAGAGTGGTCCGCCTTCTCCTCGGTCTCAGCTCCAGTCTCTCCTGCTCCCTCCACCAATCCCTCACCGCTAAATGCGCCGGTCGACTTTCCCTCACAAATTCCTCGCCACCAAAAACGCACTCACGCCGCTTTGTTTCCTCTCGGCACAAGGAAATAGCAATTGATAATCCATGTAAACGGACCCTCTTTCCCCATCGTGTTCATAAGGAAGTTGTCTCAGGAGATGTTATGCACTGGACATCGTGTAATGAAATGTGGGCAGGATGACGCTTTACATGCAGTGATCGGTATTCGGTAGGCGAGTCTGGTATGTAATTTCCCTTGGACTTAATAGAACTGGATGGGGGATTGAGAGGGCCTCGGCTACAGCTTTTTGAAACGGACGATTTTGTGGACCATGGTTTCTCTTAAGGAAAATCATTGACGATTTTAGAGAATGCATTGTTTTGGAACAACGTATATTTAGAAAATTGGTACTGAAATGTTTGGAGCATTTACATTTTAAATTTTGTGTACGTATCGTTCAATTGTAAGTTGAGTAAAGATATAATGGCATTTAAGATTGTGGTTTGTATATTATTATCTTCGGCTTGACATATGTATGTACATGGGGTAAGAATAATGCAAATGCAAAGGTAAAGTTTACAGTTTTTACAGATTGTGTTAAATGAGATAATTTTTTACGAATTTGCATTTTTTGACTTTCTTTAATCTGAAAATTTCTAGCCAGAAGTAATTATTTATTGTATAAATCTGTATACGCACTTATGTAACTTTAACTTTGTTTACAAATTGTGAAAGCCTTTTTTTAATATTTACGCATTATGTAATAGTATTGGCGTGTAAAGTGTAATTTGTTCATGTGGGGTGGCAGAACGTAAAAAGATCCATGTATTCCTAACGTGATATTCAAATTTTCGTCACGAAATTTTGGACTAAATAAAATAAAATCGAGCAGGGATACATATTCCCAAATCAGTATCATGAAATAAAAAGTGAGCAGTGGGAAAGGATGGCATTATTTCTTCTTCTCGGTTGCTTAATAGAGTGTCTTCCAGCCCTGTAAAATAGGCTGCTGGGTGGCTGGAGAAATGAGAAAAGCTCATTCAACGATCCGACTCTCTTATCTTCACAACTTGTGACACATTTTTAATGGAATCCTTTTTACCACCCCCAAAGAAAGTCACATTTTCACAGTTTTTCTTCTTTTATCTTTATTTATAATGTTTATTTCATTCCATGCTCCGCGCTCTCTAGAATAAATCATGAAAATATAACTGCGGAAATGTCCTCCGTACTTGATTTCGACTCTTTTTAAAAGCGAAACATAAGTATTTTTATCACTTATGGTGATAAATACGAGAATATGCAATCTGCTACTATTTTCACCCAGCGGAAGTGGTGCACTTTTTGAAACATTCAATAGAAAGGTACAAAAGAAACTGCGTTTTTCTCAAACTCGGTGAAAAGTATGGCGCACTTAAATAACTACGTGTCAATAATTTATAGTACGTATTATGTAAATAAATACGAGTGCCTCCTTCTAGTAGAACACAATAGTAATAGTAATAAAACTAGTGGTAATAGCATCGCGGTAGTATTTTCACCACCACCATCGAATCCCATTGAAGACGTGTTGCTTATATAAATCCTTCTCAATTCTCTCTTTTTGGTGATTTGATTTGACCATGTCGTTTCGCTATCTGCTGTCTGTCACCACCAGCAGAATCGTATTTCAAAGCACATCTCCTCCTCGTCTTGTCAGTTGATTCTGCTCTCGTGAATGGACGAATCTCCTCATTTATCGCGTGACGTTTGAGATAAGCTGTCGCTCCGATTTTCGTAGCGATGTGAGATTTTCATAGCTGTCACTCCAGAGAATGACGTGTTGTTTTATACGCAAGAAAGCAGCAACCAACCAACCTCGTCATCGTCATCATTTCACTCAAAATACCCTGTGGGGAATATCAGCGAAAAAGAATGGGTATGCATATAAATATAGGCTCCACCAGATAGGCGTCCATTAAATTTTGTGGTTTGTTTTCAAGAAAAACGTAAAAATGCATGTATTTTTTTACTTACATACATGTACGTATTGCGTAAACCATGGATTAGCAGTGACAACTAATAATAAGATTCTTCTCGCATGACAGAATATTTATGTTGTACGGAAAATAATGTTATTTATCAGGATAGACGTGGACCGAGACATAGCTCAAGTGTGATGGTAGAGAAGTATTTATTGTGATCGTTGTGTGTATGTACATGCATGCATACGGTAATACATTGTGAGTTGACAATGGTGCTCTTGATTTGATTCATGAGCAGCAGGTTATCCATACATACTTCCTCAGATGACGAACAAAATAAAGTTATGGTTTACGTTGGTTGGTAGGAAAATGATGAGGATGAAGGTATTGTTCGAGGGGAATGGGCTTTCCACCTTATTTGATTAAATGATTGACAAGGTTCGAGTTGAATGATCATTCAGGGTGCTAATTGAGGCAGAATAATCGTATCAAAGCTTTGCTTAAAGACCAAACTCAAATTCTGAATTTGGAACGGTTGGTTGATACCATGCGATCTAGCATCCTATTTACCACCACCATATCACTGCATTGTTCTACTTCCTAACAATGGGCACGATCTACAAAATATTCAAAATCCGGCCAAATTCTACACCGAATCCAAGTGGATGCTTAGCATTACAAAGGAATGATTATATTTAGGAGATATTGAATTGTTTCTCATTTTGTGTGTAACGGCTATTAGAAATCCTTTACAAGTTTTTAAGCAGGCAGGAGATTTCAAAAATTGCAGCAACACATACACAAACACTTGTTATCAGCGTGGATTATTTAATATTTCGCTTACGTAATTTTGCTATTTTGCTTAGTATTTTCCTATTTTCCTGTACACAGGGTAGGATTTTGGATAGCTGTCAAATTATTTAACATTTTTAGCAGTGACTAAACTCCTGTAAAAAAGCCAGCCATAGTTTACGACACACGCGTGGGTATGTATGCATGTTCTGCTATTGAGTCTATACAAACAAATGGGCGCTTAAGTGCAACATAAGTCCGCACTTGAACTATTATGCGAAGAAAGTACGTTGAAAAGTTGAAGTGAAAGCCAAAACACGCGATCTGCATGCACACGTACGTAGGTAAATGCGTGTGTATTCCTGGTTATATAATCATTAAAGATTGCGGGATGCTACATTTGCCTGGATAAATTCGACAATACTTTCTTTCTTGGTGAAGAGGCGAGTGATTGAGCGAGGTGAGTGTCTCTTCTCTGCATCCATCCATCCCTTATTGTTCCAGAGTTAGCAAAACTACTTGGAGCTGGAACGGTGGGTATGAAGTCATTAAATTTTTCCGCACAGTGACCCTGTTTAGCTCTCCGTCAGGGTGGCATATGCCTCCCGAAACTTGGAATAAAGGTGATGGTTGAATAAGAGTGGTCATACAGAGCAATTTGACTGGAGACGATCAACTGGAAAATCCATACATCCTTTTACACACAAACCAAACAAAATTATTCCAGTCCAGACCAACCAAACTGAAAATCCACTACCGGATGCAATGCCCAAGTGTGTGTGGTTGTTGGCATTCCTTATTGCTCTTCAGGCCTTTCTCCATCCACGTCCTGCTGGCCTAACATATTTATTAATAAGTCAAAAAATTCTCCAAAGTGATTTGCTTACTGCTGTGCCCAGTCGTCCAAAAAATATTCAAGAGAAATGTTTTCAATGAATTTTTCCTCGTGGGGGGACCTATGTCGTAAGAGTAACGGGCATGCACAAATATGTAAATCTACTTGTGGGGGTTTGCTAGCAGTTCCGAACACGGTGATGGTAATTCATCCTTTTATCTACGTATGCCTTAGGAGGGGAGCTTGCGAGGTTGATAATAACAGATCCTGATGCCCTTTGGATATGTGGTAGGGTCCTATGAGTGTACTAAAACCCTGAAGTGGTTTGACCCCATGGCCACATTTGCGCCCGTGGCGGGCGCAAACGCTCAAAAATGCCCAAAAAACGCTTTCACTCCAGGTTTCACTCATTCAAATCCACGCCAAAAATCCAATTTTACTCGGATTTTGAAATTTCTTTCACCATTACGCTCCCAGATAGTTGCTTTCTTCAATCCAATGTCAAACTCAATTTTGATGATGATTATTTCGCAGGCATAATTTGCGTTGTGGATTACTACAACAATGCTCATTCAGAATTTTAAATTTTAAAAATACTAATAATTTCGAAAATATTGAGTTTGATATCGAATTGAAGAAAGCAACTATCTGGGAGTGTAATGGTGAAAGAAATTTCAAAATCCGAGCAAAATTGGATTTTTGGCGTGGATTTGAGTGAGTGAAAACCGGAGTGAAAGTGGTTTTTGAGCATTTTTGAGTGGGTGTGGCGGGCGCAAATGTGGCCATGGAGTCAAACCACTTCAGGGTTTTAGTACACTCATGAGACCCTACCACATATCCAAAGGGCATCAGGATCTGTTATTATCAACCTCGCAAGCTCCCCTCCTTAGTCTGGACTAAGTTAGTCACAATGTGAATGCATTACTTTTTACCGATGTGCGGCAAAAGTTCACCAACGTGTGTCTCGGAATCTATAGATTAATTACGGATAACGTTACGGTAGGTGTCATTTAAATGATTAAGAGGAAAATGATGATCAATAATAAAAATAAGTTTTGCTTTCGTTGTTTTAACCCATCTCTTGGCTGACTAATCATAAGTAGTAATATGTAGATATCATTCCTCCCAGTTTTTTGCAGCACAAAAAGTGTGTCATTTTTACTGTAATGAAGTCATCAAATTGTCAACTTCTCGATGGGAATATTGGTCTCGTCTTGTCACATCATCCTGCCTGTTCAAAGCCACTAATGTGATTCGTCAACACGTTGAGCGAGTTCCAGTAGCCGAGATTCGCATAAATTCTCATCCCATGTCTGGATTTCTTCTTCTCCCGTGTAGAACGCTGTGGGACTTCGACGTTTGACTGAATAAGAATGAGAGAGAAACCTGAGGAGAGAAAGGGACACCACGCGAAGGGGAGAGGAAAGTCCCAGCAAAGCCACAATTAAAGAAACCGACACATCGGGGAAATCCTATTCATTCGGAGAAAAAGGTAGTTTTTCAGGACTGATTTTCCTGTTGTGTAGTGAATCAACTCAGCACGGAGTCAAACGATAGTGATGCATATACGTACCAAGTCTTCCCATTCCATGCTTCGACTTGTGTCAAAAATACCAATAATCCATTCAATAATTCTTAAGTAGAATTTACAAATCTTTTCATGGATTGTTCTAACCCATCCACACGACCCTTCATTCTTTGACTTTCTCTTACTTACATATGTACTGGCGAAGTAGATTCATCACTCTTATGTACATACCTGCTGTCCTAATGTATTGAACGCTGGACTTTGCTATTCAAGTGAGTCTGACTACTAACGTTTGTGGCTGCTGCAGTGGGGTTGAGAACAGGTACCGATAAGACATTGAAGACTGGGGATACACAAGTAAGTAAGTGCGAAAATCGGCTCAAGAGGAGTCTTGTTTGGGAACAATGGGACAAGTGAGTGAACAGAGAGCTGCCTGGAGAGACATGGATTAGAGCAAGAAGTACACGTTTAGTAGTAGATTTTAGGACAATGGTTCACCTGCAACTGTTCAGCCTTGTTCCTCCTTGTTCCACCTTTTCCATCCCCACTCTCCAGGAGTCTGGAAACGATCTCTCACTTCATTAACAAAACATAATCTTCTCGGCCCGACCCTTTGTTTACCACATTTTCCCATCCACAGGACTCCCCAGTCCTATTCAGTGTCAAACAAAGTCCAGTGGTGGTTGGCGTTGCTTCGTTATTTGTACTAGTCCTTCCTTTCCTCGCATTGTTACATAATAAGTCTTCACAACTTCGGCTCTCTCAGCTTTGGACAACTTTTCCTTGGGAGCTGATCTGGTTCACAGAATAAATTTGCCAGTAGCTTCATTCTCTTGTATATTGAATTATGTATGTATGTACAAGATGCAACTCGCAGACTATACATATGTCAAGCGTAATATAATAAAATTGGCAACACAGTGCAGCTTGCTTATATAAGTTCAAGGCAACATTTTGTGAAATGCACACATTAAATCCGAATGAAATTGTAAAATCATTTTTCAACACATGAAAACGACATACGCAAGATGCATGAATGAATTGTAATGAATTTGTTAAATTTATGATAATAAAATCTTCATTGCCATACAATTTAGTACTTCTATATACGTTAATGAGTTTATTAATCAATTTCCGAGTACAGAATTATATGAAAGTCAAATTAATTTTAAAAGTACTAATTTTAACGTATGACATAGTCATAATTGTAACAATTCATCTTCTAATAGCAACTTTTTTTTTGTAAAAGTGCTGGTAACAATAAAACTATTCACCTCTCGAAAATAAATGATAGCAGTGCAACAAGTACTGATAAATCCTGTAAATGAAAAGGATGCTATATATGTACCTACTACGATTAGTTCTAACTACTTATCCATATTGGAATTACTTACAGCCAGTATGGATGCCAGGATACGTATTTTATTCCGCCGCAAGTTTAGTTATAGAAACAAAAAGGGGATAGACTAACTTTTTATACTATAAGGGAGTGGGACACTATGTACCGGTTTTGTAGGAAAAAGGAACCAATTGGTCCTGCAACCTACAAATTTGACATTTCATATATATTTCACTGGTTGCATAATTGCAACTTAAATCTTTCTATATTCTATACTATGGTCTGACAATTTAAAGTAGCAGCTAATTTTACATGTTTAGAATGAGCCGCTTCTTTTAATTCTTAGACCATAATCTCAAAGTGCTATACCAAAACAATAATTAATTACTCCTCTTATTCATATATACCGAAGTATTTACCTAAGCTAAATCAGTGTATCATATATTTTACCAATTTAAACAACAACACAGTCGTCTCAACAAATAAATACCAATGTGTTTCAGATATTAAATAACCAGACAAGTTTGGGAATATTTTTATCCTGAACCGCTTGTTTCATAGTAAAATTACGAACAACAGATTAACCAAGAAAAAACATTCAAGTGCCATATCGTCTGTTAAACAGTATCAAATATCGCACGAAAGCCGATAGGCAAGTGGGATCGTCAACTGGTAATTCATATAGCCCAGGAGGTACGATTAAATCCTGGTAAGGATTGTAATTTAACGTCTAGAGATAACATAAATAAAAATTTACTTGCACTATTACAATTCATCATTACCCCACATTACTTATAACACAGTGCTAAAGTAGCAAACGATATTATTAGATAAGATATTGCAAAAAACAAAGTCAGCCATGTATACTCATAACGCCGGTAAAAATGTGAAGCAGCATGAAGTGGAAATGTTCAAGCTAACAAAGAAACTATCAAGGAGTAAGAAATATGCACGCGCAATGCCGACATCATATTTAAAGGGCCAAAATATGAAGGAAATTAGTTTAAAAACGAGCACGAATATATACAGCTGAAACATCATGTTCAGCATATCCTAGGCGTTTGGCATGTTTAAACACCTCGTTTGCAGCAGCTGTGAGTGGTAGAGGCTGTTCAATTTGATGACCGAGGTTCAGAGCCGTGTTCAGGTCCTTCTGCATGTACTGAAGGGGGTGCTGGACGCCAAAGTTGCCACCCACGATGACTATAAGCAAAACACAATAAAACACATGTGAAAAATGAAATCATAACTAAAACTTTCAAATCATCGTCATCGTTTATTCTAGCTCACTTTCTCCCTTTTGTTTGATCAAGTCATTTGAGAATGTCGTCAATCCAAGAATTTCCATAACGTCGTCACTTTTCAAATTAGCTCGATCTGCGAGCGCCAATCCCTCTGTTAAAAAACAAAGAAAAAATTAACGACTCGTGTCATGAGAGTGAGCAATGCATACAGCAACGTGGCGCCCATCACACAAATATAATTGATAAGAAATGTGATCTTTAAGTCGCAAGCTTGACTATCCCGGCTCAGAAGTCGAACAGTAAACATCTCTTTCTCGCGTTTGATTTGATTTTACTGCATACACGTACCAGTTAGTGCGGCGACTGAAACTCCTTGTACCAATTGCAGAACAAGATTCATTTTAATGGCACTGCCAACCTCACCTACAAAAACAAACTAATTTTAAACCCCACCTTGCTTGTAAAATTTTCTTTTCTTCCAACTAATTATAACGTACCCAGAAAGAATGATCGCGAACTAATAGCAGCAAAAGCCGTAAGACAGTCATCATATAAAGACCGTTCTCCAGCAGCGAGAATGATCAATGTCCCCTCTTCAGAGTCGGACTTGCTGCCCTGCATCTGGGCTTCTAGATAACGTCCACCTTTTGCTTGAATTCCATCAGCAATATCCTTGGATGATTCCACGTCAATTCCAGTCATTTCAACGTATGCCTTGTGAGCACTCATTTCTGAATCCACTCCGCAATTTCCGAAAATAAGCTGTAAATAAACATACCGTTAATTAATATTTTCCGCAACAGAAAAGTGGCGCTAAGCGGTATAATTCAATATTCATAGTGTATATAATACCTCCTTCGCAGTTGTAGCATCCGACACGCAGGAAAATATAATGTCCGATGATGCGACAACATCTGAAGGAGTCAAGCCTTCCGTTGCTCCAGCAGTCACGAAATTGCGACACTAAAAAAATATTCAATCAGTAAGTCATCATAAATAATATCATCAATTTTTACCCCTCTAAGAAAAAAACATGCAACAAAATTAAATCACGAAAAGCATAAAAGTTTGGACATTGTTGCAAGACTTGAAGCAATTATGTTAAATTTTGTATTGATTTTCTTTCATTTTATAATGCACATAATATATCATCACTGATTTTTGCACACTGATATCAAGTAGTATGCAAAAATCATGCTGTTGCCAGAAAGTCTGCATAGTAATAATATTAATACAATAAAAGAACTCATTGTATGCTTGCATTTACAAAGGAAAAGAAGGAATATCATGGGTTTATGGGTTCATCCACGAAAATATGCCCCAACTTTGTCCACTGCACAATGTCTAAGCAAGACTCCTCAAGCTGGTGTGCAGTACGTACATAAAGGGCTATAACTGTAACAATAAAGCTAGGGATTTGCCATGACATGGAGAGGAGTATGAACTAAACCAAGAGGAAAAGATATTGGTGGCAGGCGCAAACTTTTCTTGTCTGGCGCATGAGATGTAACCACCATCGACCATATTCCGACCCTGCAGCAAAATTCGATCGAATAACAACTGACTTTACACTCTCAACGCATTCTCGCTTTGACTTTAATACCAGCATTTATTAACCTGCTAAAAAATAGTTTCCCAGAAAACCACACATTTATTTTAATTCCTACACCTCAACATTATTATATTTTACTCAGCCAAGTTGTTCTCGTTTTTAATATATATAACTAATACGAATCGAGTTGTTCTTCGTTCTTTAAGAAAGATTACGATTGTTAGTTGAGCACTTTTTCGCAGTACTTGTCAACTTGTTAAGAAAGAAAAGATGTAACGGACGAGCTTCATCAAGTAATTCAAAAATAAATAATCGTAAACGGCTAAAGTGCGCAACATTAAATCGCATTATACACCATCAGCAACCTTACTAAATAGCAATTGTGCCCTAATAAAAAAATCTCGCATGGTAAGTTTAAATTTTAAAATATTACATAGTGCTATTCATTATTTGATGCAACATTGTTAAAACAGTCATCTTTTGAATATGCATAGTAAATGAAGTAATAACTTAAGTAAATCAGTAAATAGTAATTAAATGAAACATCAAGTTCAAGCAATTCTTGGTCATTGTGAGAGTAGTGAAGGAGATCAGTGTCATTAAATGGATCAATAAAATAGAGAATGTCTTTAGCATAATGGAGAAACGATCAAAGCATAAAAGTTAAGAAATTAATTCACAGCTTGTAAGTGAATGAATTACTACTACGTGAATCAATAAATAAATGAGCAGGTCAAAGGTTGAATCATCTTATGAATAGGACTCTTTGCTAACTGCGTATCTCAACAATTAAAAACAGCTCAGCCTTAAGAAAGGTTAAATTAAGATTTTGTGAGGCAATGAAAATTGCAAATGGCCTCCCAGCTATTATATATGCATGCACGTATCAGAGATATATAAGCAGAAAGAAAAACTCAATAAACGGGTCCATAATAAAAGTAGTTTAACAACTATTGCAACAACAGCTCAGGTATCAAACAGACCACATGCAACGCATTGACATTTTTTTTATTTCACTGGCAACGGCACAACTTTACTTGCACTATATTTAACTTGGCCAGTGCAATGCGTACATCATAATATTTTACCCAATGCTATAATAGGAGCAGTAGGAACCTGATATACACAAACTCAAACCCCACTAGCAGTAGGGTATGCTTTTTGACTTATAATAATGTTCTTTGTACCTCTTAAAAAATTCACATTCTTTCAAACTCCGGTGTGCCAGCCAAGTATTTTAGCTATTCTATTTGAATTCAAGGCAATCGCTTTTACTATTATATTTATACTCACACTCACTAAATATTCAATATCTTGAGTGCCAGTAGTTTCCAATGTACAGGCAAGCTTTAATGGCACACGAGTAGCTTGAGCAATTCTACCACCCAATAATGCATGATGAGTAATTAATGACGACGCATACTAATTATTTTATGATAATTCATTCACCTATTTATCTGCGCACCATTTAACTAATATACTTCAATTTACTCTCACAAGAGTTAGACATTAAGTCAATTAGAAGACATCTTCCAGATCAATCAACTACAACTTGGGCAAATAATAGGAAAGAAAAGCATGTTCCAAGATATTTGTCACAATAAAGAGACATAAACCGCATGAAAGTGGTATGATGACGGTCAGAGAAATCGATAGTTTAATATAGCGAGATGGACCTGAACTACTACTCTTCACCCCGATTCAGTCAAACTGCTGAAATGTCATGTATCATGTCGTGGAAGCCTTGGAAAAACATGGATATTCTCTTCTTTTGGTCAGCCCATGTGCCAATAAATAATGCGCAATTTTATCATGAGAAAGCTAACACAACAAATTACTTAGCCATATCATACTCCTGGTGATGGTGATATTGCTCTTGTCCATTCTTTCACTATTTATCGCTCACTCAGGAAAACTGCTTACCAACCTGCCTGCAGACTTGCCACTTGCACACATTATGCCACCAAAAAACACGACCATGCTTTAAACCAAGTAGAAATCGTGTCGACCGGCTGCTTTATAAATATTTGATCGAATCATTGAATCACAAATTATCCTTGAATTACAACAGGAGTTATTTGCTCAAATTTTCATTACCATACCAGCATCAGCACCATACACACACACACAAGTTCAACCTGCTGCTGGATTGAATCATCAACACTTTCATAGTTTAGTGATCTAGATAGACAGATTATGCATAGTTTAACCAACACCTTGTTCCAGTTCAAATAAGAGAGAGACTCATATTTTCCAAGCACTATGACATGAGCTCTCAAGTGTTAGTATTATAACATTACATAATTCCAGTTAAATTGAATCTGCCCAAAAAATTGTTCGTGGTTTATTTCTAGCTACATATTTTAGTTTGGATAGAACACATGCATATTCTAAAGAGATTTCCTTATTTATAGGAAATGTGAGCTAATCTCGTCCAACATGGATCGGTAACACCCAAATAAATTCTTGACGGGCAGGGGAAGGAAGGGGGCAACGGACGCCAAGATGCGCCGGTTTTATGACGAACCCAATCCGTTGGTCTTTTCCATTTTACTCTTTCTCCTCTTGGTTCACACCGCGACACAGGAAAACCAATATCGTGGCTTAGGAGGACAAACAAACGCCTCAAATAATAATTCCTCAACTAATAATGAGATGTCAAGTGGTCTAGCCTCCTCCACCACTGGAAATAATAATTTCATCCTTTTCGACTGTCTTCCAACATGCCAGTGCGATTACAAGATACCAAATCAGCGATTGGAGATCAATTGTCAGATTCAATCGTTGCCTATATACAACACGGATGTCGTGGGAGGAGCCCCTATAAGAGATGAACAACAACTCAGCTTGGGCGATGGAGTACGGACTCTAGTATTGCGAAATATGGTCCTAACAAACAAATCCAGCTACAAATCAATCCCTTTGCTTTCTCCAAACACCTTGGTTAAACTGGAGCTGCACCATGTGCACATGGACGCGATGGAATTTTTAAACTCGGCCCTGTTCGAAAGCTCCAAAAATAGTCTAAAACATGTGTTTATTTTCCAAAGCTCTACAATTAGCACTGACATTTTCTCAACGGGCTACACTGAAAAGTTGAACGCCTTTTCAAGACTCGAGAATTTAGATAGCCTTACCGTTTGTGATAGTAACCCTTCCCTCTCCCATGTGATTCTCCACTGTCTACCTGACCTCAAACATCTTCACGTATCAAATAGTTCAGCCTCAACGGTGTACTACACCTCCTTCTCCCATCTCAACTCTCTCCAGTCCTTAAATCTCTCCCAAAACCACATCACCACCATTCCTAACGGTCTTTTTGACAATCTGAAGAGTTTAAAATCTCTGGACATCTCATACAATCGTCTCACACATCTCCAGGAGGATGTGTTCCTGGGACTGGGGTCACTTCGAAAATTGGACTTGAGCCATAACAAGATCCAATATGTGGACGCTGAAGTCTTCACACATTTACAAGATCTCCAAACCATCAATCTTAGCAACAATGAAGTTATTCAATTCTTTGAGCCATATTTCAAGCACAATGACAATCTGCGGGTGATAAACATGTCAAATGCTTGGGTCTCGGATACATTCATCAACGAAAACGCCAATCGTTCCTACAGGGAGATGGAAGGACTGATCAGCACTTTGCAAGTCGTAGAAGTGCTTGACCTTAGTGATAATCAAATGATGATCATTCCTGAAACGCTTTCTCATGTTCAACGACTCACACATGTCCATCTGAATGGCAACCCCTGGTCATGCACATGTGACGAGAGGTGGTTCTCAGATTGGATTGCCACGTCAAACGTTTCAATTGGGAAAGATAACTCTGCGAAAGACACTTTCTGTACCCCAAATGGAGGTGCATATCGATACCCCTTAGTCGAATATATTGAAAGTCTGAGAAAAACCTGCTTAGGTTCCGAGATTACGGCACGCTATGCATTTAAGTATTATGCCGTCATGGGAAAAGACAAGTTACTGAGCTGTCATTCAAGGACGACAGCAATGCCTACAATCACATGGATTACGCCTTCAAAGAACAGAATCACGGTAACTGCTAATTACACATCAGTGCACCAAGAAAAGAAGAATAATAATAATGAAGAAGATGATGATGATGACGGTGATAATCACGAACTTTTGGAACCCTCAATATATCCTGATGGAGCTCTGCTTTTGCATAATGTGGAAGGACCCGACTACGGTTTATATTTATGCATTGCCACATATGACGACTTGAACATTACTCATTATGTTCACGTGGGCATGGATGTTTCAATTTTCGAGGACGTTAGACTTATGAGCCTCGTCGTTGGACTGATCTCAAGTTTTGGGTTCCTATTCTTGGTTCTACTGGCACAGCTCATACGATTCTTGCTTTTAAGGTAAAATCTTAATTTGAAACTGAAGAAAATTTTATGATTCAAATATACACAACTAAACTCAATGAATCACATGTCTTATTTTCTTAGGTCTGGACTTCATTGCATTGCTGTACGAACGGCAAATCAAGCGAGGAGAGTTCGAGCTTTCTTTGATTCAATGGAACAGAATAAAAATAGTCAACTGGATTGGTTGCGACAGAACTACAACATGCAGGTAGAATTATTAAGATTATTCTTATCGTTATGACTTATGATAGGTTTTTCATACATTCTACAAAATCCTTATCAACAAAATGTCTTTATTTGCAGTCCAAGAAAATCCAAGATAATTGTATCTCTCAGTTGGAACGAATAAGAGAGAGTTATACAAACCAAACAAAGAACTTGTCTGAATTCCGAGATTACAGTGCCCAACAACTTACTACAATGAGGGATCAGTATCAAGACCAGGTAAATATTTCTAGAAGCGATAACGATAATACAAACTTAACATATGCATACTTTTCCACGTATATAACCAGCAACGAACTAACTACCTAAATACTTATATCTACTAACTGCTCAAACAAGCATTCCTTGGTTGCTCAAGTACAAATATTTCTCATTATAAAATTTCAGATTCGTAAAGTCGCATCCTATTCTGCTCACCGATTAGGCAAAGTACGAGAGAACTACGTCTTCAATCGAAATAGAGTTGGAAAGTTTAGTAGTCATCAACTTATCCGCTTAAGGGAAGCTTACAAATGGCAAGCTCAGACACTAAATAAGATTCTTGAGAATCTACCACAAGGTCTCAACTTGGACTCATGTCGTGGAGTGGGGGCATGTGTGGATGAAGATTCGGAAGATTTTATTGGACATTCCTCAACCAGATCCTCCGTACGGCTCCAGTCTTCTTCAGGAGAAGAGCATGTATCAGTAGGAGGAGGAGGAGAGGATAAACACAATGAGCATATCTCACTCCTCATTCCCCCAGAATTCTTGGCTTCTTACTTAATCCCCCCAATTCCTAACTTTAATTTAGACGAACAAGTCACACTCATGGTTGACGTCTCGAATAGCAGAAGAGATTTGGACAAACTTCTAGTTCATAAGAAGGGGTCTGCATACGACCGAGAACAAAATGGTCATTGTAGTAAGACTTGTGATGTTGAGTGTCATTCGAACCTTCCGTTTGCTGATGACGATGTTTAAATTGTTCCGCATTTGTTTATTGTTTTTGTAAGTAAGAATTCCTGTTCCGAGAAATAAAAAAAAACTAACTAAAAATCCCCATGCCATAATAATAAACTCAATCAATGATAAATGGAATGGAATAATGGAATACTTTTAAATTTTAACAACCAAAATATAATTATTAGATTGATGCCTACAATCAGTTGCAACATTGGAAAGATTTGAATATTTTAAAATGATTCAAAATAGTCTTTTCTGTCTTATTATTTACACACCAATCAAATACCCTCAACAACATTAACGAAAGGCAATATCCTACTGAATATAATTACTAAGTGTCGTATTAAGACTTGTCCTGGCAATATATCCTTTACAAACTCCCCGCACAACAATATTTTAGGTAGGTCTTTGACCCAAGTTCAACAGATCAAATAATAATGTAATGTAGCATCATTCCCATTTTTTAACCATCAGTTATATTTAATAATATAGATTGGAAGTCTCAATAAATCTCAGCTCAACTCAACAAATTGCATGAATATGAGTAGCTAAAAAAAACTTGTCCAGGTTGATTAGTAATATACCTATATTATACAACAATATAAAGTTTTTAAGGATTTTTGTGATGTTGTGTGGTTCCTGGTAGACCCACACATTTGACTATGATTCGTACTTAATTTCTAGTCACAAACAGTACGAGAATATCGAAGCAAAAACTACGACTCCAATGCGTGCGATAAAAATCTAAGTATTGACGCAAGAACGGTAGCAAGTCGTGTATCGTCTTTAGTTTATAAAGAAACTGTATCATATTAACGAGTTAACTAAATTGGAAAAACTAAAAAGTCGTGTAATGATTAATTAGGTTGAAAATTGTATGATCTTTCATTCAATAAAAATGTTAAAAAAATTATTTTGCATTCCAAAAAATAGGTGGGTATGCATAAAACAAAATTACATGACCACGTTTATCTGCCACCTATCCAGATGTATTCAGTAATGTGTATGCATGCAAAAAATAATCTCAGCAACTAAAATATGAAGCATACCTTTTCGGGAGTTCGGTTCCAGACGGTCACTTTATGACCGGATTGAATTAGGTTCTTTACCATTCCTGAACCCATATTCCCCAATCCCAAAAAGCCAAACCGAAGATCAGTGGGCTTAATCTGCTTGCTTCGGAGAGTCTCACTGATATCCCCAATGTTGAGCGGAACTGTGTCCTAATGTAATAAATAATAATCACAAATTTACTCATCATATTCGTTCAATATCCTAAATTAGAATGTTCAATTTTATTCCTGAATGTATTTATTTATTTCTCCTTTACCGGTTTGGCAGCAACTGTTGGTCGATTTAGCAGAATTGTCGCTGCTGACTTTCGTGGTGACGCTGCAGCGTGAGCCGAGCCGCTGGCAAACGGTAGTGATTTCTTTGGAGTTTTAGCTTTCACTGCCTTAGGAGTGGCCTCTCCATTTTCCGCAACAGACTTCTTCCTCGGAGCGCCCGAAGTAGACTGCAAACGAAATGTAAAAGCAAAATGTAAATGCAAAAGAAATGTATTTTTTTCGATAATTAAATTCTCTTAATAGTCGTCATTACGAACCCACGAAGAAGAAATAGAAGACGACTGTAAAATGCAAAGCACAAAAAAATAACAGCATGTCAAGCAGGTAAAAACAAAAGGAATAATATGCGTATTGCTTATTGTATAAATTGTTGGCAACGAACCCGTCGTTTTTTGCCTTCGCCTTCTTCCCGACTAAATGAACGTCCACGACGTTTTCGTCCACCCGAAGTCTGAAATTAGAAAAAAAGTTAAATTGTATTTAATTACGTCGAAAAACTAACAACATCTAACCTGAATACATTAAGAGTATAATTGACAAATAATTCATTTACCTCAGAAACATTCTCATCTTGTGCACTGTCGTCTACATATTCGAATTCATCCTCCACCGGCACAAGTTCTTCCTCTTCATACTGCTGCTGAAACTGAGATTCGACATCTTCCCCCGCCTCTCGCCGAGAAATGTACTCGTCACAGTCAACAATCGCATTTTTAAACAACTGTGACTTGCATACATTTGAGTTTGCTTTTCGCTTTTCAGCATAATCTTCAATTTGGTTTTCATCAATCCATCCAAAGTTTTGCGATCCAAAAAACCAGACACAGTGCATAGGTTTAGTAGCCTTTGGTTTCTTCATATTTGGGCGAGGAAGTGCGATCTTACGATTGAAAATTATCCATGTTAGATTTAACCAGTTAGTAGTTAAAAAAAAGTTGTCCAAAACTCGTCTTACCTTTCCAGGCCAGGTTGAAAATCCTTTCATTTTCGCCCTGAAAACCAACCAAAACAAAGCCATTAAATGATGTGTCATTTTACTTATTTATTTACTAACGTCTTCGATCATCCCCTCGCCCCCCACCATCCTTCTTATCATCATCATCATCTATTCTCTTTTACAAAGAAACATTTCCTTTGACCTCATACAACAACCAAGTGATTAGGAATAAGGCGGTATTCTCACTCTCGGAACATATACACACAACTCTCCTAGCCGCGTAAAACAGCAACCGGGGAGAAAACTTGGTTTTCAACACGTTTTTTACTCAAAAATGTAATAATGGGTTAAAAAATTAACGCTGCACTTACCACACAATATCCCCCACTTTCCACTCGTAAGTAGATGCCATATCTTCACTTATCGGAGACCTGGAAGTTATCAAAAATTTGAGATTTGGAGAAACACTTGGTTGAGAAACGAGTGAAGTTGGCTGCAGCAGAATTGGACGAAGAGTGAGTGAGGATGGTAGGAGTCAGTCAGACCGGGTTCCTCTCAACAAGTCAACTCGTAACCTATCAGAAGCCTCAGAAATTGCAAGGGGACAAAAATAATGCCCGTCCTCTCCAATCACTCAGATCAATCCATCTCTAATTAACGAACTTAAAAAATACAATTTTCACATCTCATTACTACATTGTCATTTTGTCGTGGCTTTACTATGTCAACTATTTCCAGGCCTAGCTCTACGCACACACCAGCCACTGGAGCTTGGTCTTTTCCGGCTTACGCTCTAGTTTTACCAGTACCGGCAGTGCGATATTGAACAATTGTCTAAAAATATATGATGGTGCAAACTAACTATGCAAAGTAATGTTGAGATGATGTTTCGATTTTGATGTCAATTCTAGAAATGACCAAGGACCCCAATGCGACCCTGGATGCGGCCGAAGCCGTTGAAAAACATGTTATAGATCTTGATAATGTCGCCAAGCTCGCCATCTGTGGTGAGGCGAGGGCAGATGAAGTTTGAGGGCCGTGGAGGGATGGCGTGGGGGTTGATTTCCCTGAATGGGGACGAAAGAGAGACGACGGGTTAATTCGAAGAAAAAAAAACTGATCAGAGAGGAGAAGAGGAATAACGAGGAGAGGAGTAGTAAAGTCAAAAAGTAAGGCCCAGAGAAGTGTATGTACGAGCAGTAGTAAGAGGACCATCATCACATCAGTTCGTGAGGACGACAGGCAGGGGAGAGAGAGATGATGATAATTTTAATCAGTAATTATTGACAGGGGGACTCCTATTACTATTATTATTTGTGTGCTAACCCTTTCCATTATTTTATGTTCCATTCTTTCATTCAAACTGCAATACATGCCCACCCATCCACACCCGCACATGACTCGGTGAAAGTTCGACTTTAATGTTTTGATACATTACATCACATCATATTGTACATTACCAGTAAGTAACAATGCCATATAAAAAAGTTATTGTTGATTTTTAATAATCGTTCGTTTTTGAAGACTGATCACCAGAGTGATTGCAAGAAATAAAAAACAAAGTGAAGAAAAGGTCAACGGTGGGTGGTTGGTTTCATTCAACTACGACAAATACGACAACAACATAGCAAAACACGATTGATACATCTCTCACCTGTTCTACTATTTTTGTTCTCTAACATTTTTTGTGCAAATTGAAAAATAAGTTTGTATTGTTGTCTTGTGGAAAAAGTGAGTTGCTGGACTGCCAAAGCAGCAGGCTTGTATTGGCTCAATGCCTCTGTCGCGTTTTCTCGTTATCGACATACTCACAGCAGCGATCAACTATGCTGAGAGGCTCTTCTCGTCATGATGGCATTCCTAACAAGCAATCCGCCAAAGGTATTGTTTTTGTATGATAAAAGAAAGTGGTCTATATGTAAATAAAGATGATAACAATGGTCAATCTCTTGTCCTATATATCAAGATCCAGATAGGGACAGGCAAAGGGAGCAACAGCGAAAGGAGAGAGCACAAATGCTTCCAGATGATAAAGAAATTCATGCCGGAACTCATGATTTGTTCAATGCACCCGTTAAAGTGATAATCAAATTAACCTACCTTACGTCATGAACATCTGATAATGAACAAGTTATGACCTTTTTTGTAATGATGTTAACAGGTTAAACCATCTATTGAAGACACAACAAGCCTCCAAATTCGAAACAGTTTGGGAAATTTTGAGCCGATTCGGCGTTTGATGGAATATCCTGGAACCTCTCAACCACCACAAGCACAAATACAACAAACATTTTTAACTGGCCCTGCTGCTGCTGCTGCGGCGGCGGATCGAGGATATCATTCTGTAACGTCAGCAAGTAGTGCGCTAGCACCGCATCGTAATACTAATCATAATATTCACGACCCTCCAGCACCACTTCCACCATCATATCGTCCCCCTCCATCTTCGTCGTCACTAAATTCATTCCCTCCGACTATACCCCCCGAGTCGAACAGTACCAAAAGTCATTATCAACAACGCAATCTCTATCACGTTAACCATCATCCGAGCAGTGGTGTGGTTAGCAATAATATCAATTCTAATAGCAGTAATACTTCATCAGCATTTTCATCCTCCTCTTCTTCCAACACTGGCTCCACCAGCGGTAGCCTGTTATCAACAAACAGTAACTTCCGTGCGTCTAATAATCACCATCAACTAATTCCTCCAATCTCCAAAGTGCCACAACAAAATCAACCCCCGTCGTTGTTATCTACTTTGAATGCAACAACGGTTTTTAATTCAAACTCAAGTAACAATCCTCCAGCTTTGACAACAACCGTGCCCTCCATTTCCCTCAACAACTCCGGACCAATACTCAATAGAAGTCCAAATTTTAACAGTAACAATAATCAACAAGTGAAACCAAAATACACAACACATCCTGCATCATTCGGTGTAAATTTTAACGACACGCAACAAACTATTAGTGGCGTTGAGGTGAAAGTGGATGGTGCAAGTGTCCAGACCACTACTGAAAGTTCAGTATTTAATAACAATGAACGGTTTTCCAATCGCAGTAATAATAGTATTCGAGATCCCAAGTGTAATAAAACTGTGGTTCCACATAACAAACCCGCACCTGAGCGAGTAAGTACTAGTATAGATTCAGGCACTCGAAAGTACCAAAAGCTAACGTTTTTACAAGTCAAAATTTCATGATATTTTATCCCCAACTCCTTCTAGGCGGATAGTCAGCTTACACTAGAGAGTATTTTGAAGGTACGTGGGTGTAACACAACTCGTTTAATTGAAAATATTATAGCGAACATAATGTTATATGGCGTCAAAGAGGAAATGGGAAATATCTCATAAAAAAGAAATGCGAGTATAATGAGGAACTTACCAGTTGTATTCCTGATCCATGATGAGCGAGAAAACTGAAGAGGCCCTCAAAAACTTCAAAAATATATCTTATCGACTAATTGAATCTCCTTCAAAATTAGTGATGGAGTAATTATGAAAGTATTGACACAGCAAAAAAAATTAATCACACCTCAACTGACACGCAGTTTCAGTACAGACTACGACGACGGCGACGTAGGTAGCAGCAACTGAAAGAAAGTACGTTGACGAGACGAGACTTTAACTGTAGGCAGATTATACAATTAGTCGAAAACAGCGTGTGGCGGCTTCATCTTCATCTCATCCACAGTCCAGGCAAGACAACACAATGGCTCTTTTGCCGCCCTCTGCCTCTGCCGGCCGTCTTCTCTGCTGGATTCATGTGGCACGACGCACGACCATGTGCTTATTCTTGGCTGGTCTTGCATTCATCTTGCGAGACTTGTTGGCCGTTTGCATTTAGCAATACTTTGGACGACCATAGTAAATAGTAATGCTGGAGATTTAGATTGTATCTGATTGCTGCATTTCAAGCAAGGTTTAGAAGCTTGATTTTCATGACCTACGTTTCGAATTAGTCGTATAAATAAATCTACATAAATTTAGCCCTAGTATTAGCCATTTTCTTTTATCTAACTACTTTAGACTATTCACCTGACACTTTTACTAGGCATACAATTTTAATTAAATAAAAGCGTTTAACCTTTAAAGTTGAGAAGAACGACTACTTAGTACCTACTAAGGACTTCAAATTGGTACTGAACTGATACTAATGTATAAAATATTCCATTTGATTTCTACAAATTAATTGCACAGTGCAATTTGCACTCGACATAAAGCATTTCTAGCTATTAAAATATGCACATATTACAGGAAATGACAGATGTCATCCCTCCATTGACTGCTATACTTACGCCTGTTAAAGATAACAGCAAAAGATTACCTCCACGGAGGGTAAGCTAATTTATCAAAGTACTGTGATGAACATTGCTGTACATAACTAATTGTTGTTTATTTCCTTGTAAATAGTCGTCCAAAAGCGAGGAGAAAATAGTACAGTAAGTTAATCTTATTCTAATAGCAATGTCTTGGTTATTAAATAAATATTCGACTAGGCACTTGTTTACTACCATCCCGTTGCACATTTAAACACAGCTAAAGTGATGGTTTAGGTTTAGGACCTCTCACTATATGTCACTTTCAGATTATGAATATTATAAAATGGTTAAGAAGGATAGATGCTGTGCGGGTGTGGCCTATTATTGAGAAAGGAGTTCTTGGCCTCAGGTTTCCCAGTAAAGCTGAGGCCAAGCACTGTTTTTTCATTAATAGGCCACATCCGCACAGCATTTATCCTTCTTAACTAGAGTATAGTATATTGGTATCTCTAACATCGACTAGTAAGTATCTATCTATAAGTAAAATTTTCCTATATTTTTATCTAGATCAATTATCGATAGCGGCATGGCCAAGATCCCTTCGCCAGTCCCCAGAATGGAGTCTAGCGCCGAAAGTAGCTCAAGCGAGTCCGACTCTGACTCCGACTCTGAAGATTCTGCAAGCAGTGGAAGCCGTATGGATGATGATAAAGCCGACACCCTGGGTTCATCGTCTAATCCAAATACGGTAAATTAATAGTTAATACCTCATTAGAATCATCCTTGCCCTGCAATGTATATATTGTTTAATAATGAATGGTTCAAATAACTAGGGCTCTCCCACTACAAAGTGGAATCTATCCTCATTTCTGAAGAATGAAAATATTGTCGCTAAACCGGTTACAAAGTCCCCTAAGGTAAGTCTATCAATTTAATTTAGTCAAAATTATTAATATCATTCACTTTATTATTAATAATCTTATTTCTAATAATAACACTTCTTTGTGTTATCAGGACAATATCAAGTCCAACTCTTTCAGTTCTTTGGATAGTTCCGATCCTATGGTCGACGAATTCGGCATGCTTATCACTGATAGAACTGATAGTGTGACTTCCACTGTGTCCAATAAGAATCAACCCCCTCCTAGCCCGGTAGAAATTGCACCAACGTCTGTTGCTCTTGGTAAGTACATTGAAATTATTTGTGTCGACTGACTTCTTAAATTAATGAATCACTTTTACACGTCCCATTTACTTGAATTTACAGAAACCCGTGCTAAATTAGCAGCTCGAACTACTAGAGGATCTTCAAACTCGCGACCAGAACCCCACATTCCAGTAAAGCCAACTCCACCCACCATTCCCGTGAAAGTTGCTTCGGCGCAATCCAAAGACAAAGTATCGTCTTTAAGTGCTAGTAGCAGTGAAGATGAAGCCGAGCCAATTGTGAAACCTAATAAGCGTAAATCTGGTGCAAAGGCGACCTCGCAGTCAGAGGATAAAAAAGCGTCAACTAGCGGTGCTACTACAGCTAAACGTCCTCGTCCCTCAGTTCCTCCTCCAGCAGCAACTCCCATCACCACCACCACCACGACGGCACGACATGCTGCTGTCACCAAGAGTGGCGGTGAGAGTTCTCCTGAAAACAAATTGGCCAAAGGTAGTAAAAATGGGCAAGATAAAAACAAAACAGACACTATCCGAAAACTCTTCCGTTTTGGGAACAAGCCCAATGCTAAAGTGCAAAGCCCCTCCTTCGTCGAAACTGGTGACTCGGGTGGTGGTAAGATTGTCCCCGCTACAGCTCCTTCTGCTACTACCGGAAAATCAGGGTCCAACCGTGTGTCTGGAAAAGGTGGGAAGACTTCTTCCTCCACATCTGCTCCTCACAATGGTGACATTGTTTCCTTTAGTGATAATAAGAAAAAAGAAGGATCCAAAGAAAAATCTTCCCAAAGTAAAAAACACCCAAAGCAATCTACTGCAAAATCTTCTGCTGCTTCTGCTGCTAAATCCAATTCACCTAACCAGGACCTTAGTGGAAGATTAAAGGATGACGGAAAGTCGGGTTCTTCAAGCAATTCGTCGTCACTAATAGTCCGGATACCTCTTCAATTTGTCACCTTAATGAGGAGGAAAAAACAGCTAGAGCAGCAACAACAACAACAACAACAGCAGCAGCAGCCAGCAGCTGTCAATCCATTTCCGGCCCAACCTTCAATTGTTTCTCCATCATTACAAAAAATGGAAAAGGAACTTGAAAAAATCAGTAAGGTCGCAAAATCGGTGGCAGCTAGCACTGTAACCTCAGAGCCGCCCCATCGAGTACCCAAAGTTCCCCAAAATTCTAGTCGCGTTGGCAGCTCGAGTGACCCAACTATTGTTCAACCTTCTCTAAAGTACGAATCTGGGATATCCCACACCCGTGACGATCCATTGTGTTCACGAGCAGAGCGTCTTTCACCAGTCCGTTCGAAGAAGCGACCCAAGAAGAAATCAAGGGCATCGCCCAAGAAAGCGAAACCCAAGAGGGAACCTCCCGATTCTAGAACAAAGGTGAGTAGTTAATTTTAATACTTAGAAAAGCTATTTAATTGAATTGATTCCATTAACAATTTATTTATTATTTACAATTTATAGTTGGAAGGTTATACTACTGATGCTGAAGTTTCTTCCGCAAATGTAGTTGGTTACCCTCCCTGTGATTCAATAACAAGAACCCCCCCGATTGACCCTGATGTGGTCCAAGCGCCAGATTCATCACTAAATCCTTCTCATTTGCCGACTATCCCACCTCAGGTCCAGTATTTCAGCTACTTTGAAAAAAATGACATCAAAGATGATCTGTTTTCAAGGTATGTAGTTTTGACAGTCTCAGAAATGGTAAACTTTGGTTCAGTTTACCTATCTCTGAGCCTGTTTCTGTTATGCATTAAATTAAATGAATTACTCTACTTATATTATCTATTCAGAGATCAAGATTCATACTTGGAAGAAGCCAAAAAGTTGAAACATTCAGCGGATCAAGAACGCACGAGTACAGCTCAGGCGTCAATGTAAGTGTAAATCCAGTCTTACCAATAAATAAATATATATTTTCAAAATTTTGTTTTGAAAAATTATTTGATGATGATGCACATGCAGCATCGAAAACATGGAAATGTAATACACCAGTTTTATACCATGTGTTCTGTGTGTTCTTAAATATTGTATAACAAAAATGCTGAGATTATATTTCCTCTTACAGGTACTTAGAAGCGGGATTATATTTTATTTTAACTGGAATAATCATGGAGCGAGACGCAGCCGGAAATAGCAATGCGTCATATACAATGTACCGAGATACTTTAACATTGATCCAATACATTGGAACACGGTGGCGCAGCGCTAGATTATCCGGACCTGGCGAGCTACAGAATCAAGAAGCAAAAATCATTACTCTTAGGTAAATACATGCATACATAAGGTTTCTAGTATTTTTTCTAATATTTTTGTCCAAGACAAGACTAACTCATTAATTCTGTACTTGCAGTATGCGGTGCCAAGCTTTACTATTTTGCAAGCTGTTCAAAATGAAGATGAAGGAAACTCGCGACATGGTTTCCAACATGCATGACTACTTTACGAAGGCTGTTGTACGGGAACCAATGATCGTGACCAACAGTCCACAGTTAAGCACCCCATCCCCTCATTCTCCGACATCCTCACCTGCAGGGTCGTCAGGAGTATTGCAACACACGCCATCCCCGCACCACCAGCAGAACCATATGCTTCCTATCCCAAGAAACTTATACAACCATATTCAAAAACAGTGTGGAAACACGTACAATTGTATTATGGCGCATGATACATGGGAACAAGCTGATGCATATGTATCTAGATATCGATTAGAAGGTAAATATGTTTTTGGTTTATTATTTATGTTATTAGCTTCTGAATTCTTTCACTCTTTATTTTGTTTTATATGTTAATTTGATGTTAAATTGTTACACTTTGTAGATTTTTTCATTGGAGTTGATCGTCAAGTCGGCCCCTTAACGCTACACAGTACCCTAGTAGATCTCGTGAGATACGTTCGACACGGGCTACAAGTAATTAATGGATCGTAGCATTGGGTTTCTATCCTAGTGAGGTCTAAACGGAAACAACTTTCCCCAAATAAAAAGAAGAAACCGAAGAAACCGAAGGAGAAAAACAAAGCAAAAAAATCGACGAAAAAGACGACGACGACGACGACGACAAAAAAGAAGAAAAATTAAGATTTAATTAAAAAGTAAACATCTAGATATAGACTCCAGTCTCATTAATTAAGTACACGAAAAACCACATCTCCTACGAATGGTTGCCAATTCTCGTTAGTTTTAGTTGCACGGCTGTCCAGGAAGTGAAGTTATTATCAATCTATTTGAGGTACGAGCAGACAGCAGAGGTCTGAAATTTTATTAGAATAGATAGAGTTGACATTACTTTTGGCCATGTTGCAAAAAATCCATAAAATCGCTAGTTTCGACAAAACAGGATTTAGTGAAAGTCAAGCGCGTTATTCATTATTATAAATACGTGCGGATGAAGAGAAGAGTTTTATACTAGCACAAAAGTTCAAGATTACTATAATCCCCTGTCCAACTGTAAAAATATCTCACAAGGAACGAAATTCAGGGAACTCAATGTTCACAAGACACCAATAGTTCTCAAATTTCTATCCGTTCTGTTTGCATTGAAATCCAGTCATCGAATTTGTTTAGGTTTTGTGCAAGAGCAGGAATATATGCTACAGCGACAACGCCAACTAAGCCAAAAAGTATCCAAGGGTTTCGACATTTACGGTCAAACTCATGAGTGGAGTTGGGAAAAACTCATGGAAAGCAATAATGAAGAAAACAAACTGGAATCTCATATCAATTGGCTAAAAACGGGGGATTGTGGAGGAGCTAAGAGTGTAACTTCTTCTGTTAAACTGTTCATGGTTCAAGCAAGCAATGGTAGCCTTACTTCCTGGACAGCCATTAGTGACATATAAAATATCTAGCTAGATCGTCTTACAATGATTTGAGACTGAGCAAAATGTGTCGTGTAAGAAGAACGCAAGTAGACATCATCGCAGTATTCAGTAATCAAAACAGGAGCTGGGAAAAGAACCACCAGAAGTGTGAGAATTGGTTCATATATAAATAGGTATATATGTTCAAGTGCTCTATTTGTATCGCTTCTTAAGTAATTCATGGTACTTATTTAAATTGTAACATTGCATACCAACAAAACACTTCCAGCTTTCACAGATCATAATCAGTCTCTTTAATAAGTAATTATAGTTAGTTTTCTCAAAGTTTTAACAGTGTATACAAAAAAACTGTTTCTCGTGTAGTTAATGCAGCAATTTTAAGGTTATATTATCTTTCTACGAACACCTCGGTTTCTTTGGTTAGTTATTTTTGTTGATCGCCGGTTACTGATATAAGAAAAATCTTCCTCTTAGATGTGTTTGTAACATCAAAGACATTGTTATACTCGTCAACGAAAGAATTAAATTTTGAATTTGAATTTGAATTTATCGTAAACTGAATGCGTGGTGTTGACATTGCTTTATGTGTCGCCTTAATTGTTTGGATTATCCTCATCATTCATCAATCAATCATTGATGAGCAAATATTTTTATTTTTCCTCCTTCTTTTTTTCTTTCTGCATGACAAGCTGCCTCCTCCCCCTTAAAAATCAATACTCCTCACGCATGATATCCCATTCTTCTTAATGTAATGTTTGGATATTGAGTGGAATATGCATGGGTTTTGCTGCTGCATCCACCAAAAAAATAATCATCGAGTGGCTTTCTTTAAAAATAATTGCCAACAGATTGTGATCGTGTGTAAAGGATCTCGAATCGTAGAGCCGTTCGTTTTCCAAAAAAAAACTGGCAGTAACGGTCAAGATCACTTTGTTTGTGTTAGAAAAAAAGTTTTTCGCTTACATTTCATCCTTCTGGTTGTGCTTTAATGGTCATATTTGTTAATGATAACATTACCGTAATTAACTTAGGATAACAAGAGTTAGAAAGTTAGAATATGAAACTAGTCTAAGCAAGCACACGCCAACAAAAAAAAAGAAAATGAATGGATACTCGTTATTTTGATAATCGTCTGCAAAAAATACTTTAATAATCTAATGCAAAAAAATGGGTGGACACATTATTATTAAGTATCAATGATTGACAAGATTAATTTCGTTATTTGCGTGCAGCTAGCCAAACTTTGATATGCTGTGAAACATAGTTCTTATAAGTACATAGGTTCATAACAAATAGATAAATCTTGTGATCGAGCACTCCTCAAGAGTTGTCATGATATATGGATATCTTTTAGGATAAGGGAAAGTAGAGCAGATTTTACTATTTATAAGAACGACGTGATGATGGTATATCATGGGTGATGATTTTGAATTGATTCCATATGCATGCATACCAATCACCACCATGATTAAACAGCGCACTGGATTAGTACTTATCGTAGTGTCCCTCATTACATTAGTTAAATGTACGATAATCATAAGTTCAAATAAGCAAACAAGTCTCGATCCCAATTCAGAGTGCATGTAATAAGTATCTCCAAGTGCTAATTGTACAATTACTCATCGTCACTACGACCATCACATATTTACATAAGCTTACGATTCTTATCCGCGTCAACAGTATATTTAAAACCTACAGAGTAGAGTTCTTGTTTTGAAACGGTTACAATATTTTATTAAGACAATGACACAATAGGCTACATACATTACGTGGAACGGATGTGTACTCTTGCGTATTTGCGTACATACATATATTTAATAGCGTATGGTTATTTGTATTCAATTGGTTTACTACCTTTCGGAGAAAAGGAGTGAATATTAATATTTGGAACAATGGGACAAGGACAGGAAAGCAACAACTTGTGGTGAATTGTTGAATATATGACTCGGTGTTGTACATAAAAAAAAACTTTATTAAATGGCATACTATGTATCGTTAAGCTGCTACATATTAATATATACTTTTAGTGATACGAGCGGTTGTTATATGTTTCTTTAATTACTTAACTCTGGCTTTATGGGTAGGAAATAATAATAGTCATATGGTAACAATATGTATGTATGTTGACTTGATTGGCAGGAATGGAATAACCCTCCAGTTTTACATACTTGCTTATGAATTATTATATCGTTTGAGAAAAAGAATGTTTATTAAAGGAGACTGAAAGTTGTTACAAATTCCATGCGAATTATTACGACACATTCCTTTCTTGTGAAGGACGCAGCTACATCCGACCATTCTACTTGGGCACGATTACATGCGAACGTTGAAGCGTGATTGGTTTTATGAACTATAAATAAATTTCATACAGAACAATAACGCAATATTCATATGCACATATTGAACCAATTTTAAATTGTACTAGCTGCAAAATTAGATTCCTGGATCATGAATCATGTCGAATCATCATCAATTTTCCTATTCATTAAATGATTTATTTTGCATACTTGGTGCACTTTCATGAATCAAATTTTAATACAATTTCATATTATTTAGGATTAAGTTAATGTTGACAAAGAGTTGTTGGAGAAATGAGTACAAATATATAGTAGCACATAGTAGAAAAAATTCAGTTTACTATGATTTCTGAGAAATTTTTCCGATGTACATAGGAAATCATCCAAAACAATTACACAATTACTATTGTATCAGTTGTTCCTAATTAGGTCACTCATGTCAATTATAAATGTTCCGTACTGGACTTTCTAAACTCAAATTCGCTATTACATTATTTTCACACAATGGATGATTACAACTTGGCCACCACTATACGTAATTACGGGTAATTGGAAATCACAGCCTTGAAAACTACAAATGATCTATCTATACACTTCTTTATAGACAAAATTCAAGAATGCAGTTCTATGTAGATGAGAAATCGATGCCCTTGACTTCTCCAGGTCATATAATGCATTGCATATTCTATCCCATCCCCATAATATTACCGTGTATGCATGCAATCATTGCATCTCAACACTGACTATAGCAGTGGAATTAAACAAGGCTGAATTTGCCAGTAGGAATGATAAAGATTGCAAAACGGGGAGATTTCGGTTTCCTCGGGGTGGATGCCGCTAGTGAGTGGGGGGCATGAACCCGTAATTGAGAATATCACACAAGGACGTCTGCTGGCTACTAGCAGAGCATAGCACCCGCCATTAAAATGGCATTTCATCTCCTTATCTTAATTAACCAAATGGCATCAACTCCATAGTTCATCTTGGCTGCTGGCTTGGTTGGAGAGACCAACACCATCCTTTCTCCTGGTTGGAGAGGACCGTCGTCGTACTACGGTTGTAATCATTACGATCTGTGCAGACAGAGGCAGAGATTAATGAGCTGCTGAGAGTTCGGTTCTCGCTCCTATCCCGTTTCCATCTCTTCTTCAAATAAGTCCGTTTCAACTCTATCTCACTCAACTTTCCCTTTGCGTACACAACTCCGTTAACCCTAACGCTGTCAACCGTAGTGACTCAATGGGACAGCACAACTCAAGCGACCTGGCTGGCAGAATGGGAGGAGTGTGAAAGGATGCTAGCAAAATTGGAGAAAGAAGGGTTATTTCACTCCCCTGAATGCAATCCAATGTAAAATGCAATGTCGGGGTCGACGACAGAGCACTGAATTGACTGACTGACTGACTCCGAACAGTTTACACTTTGAAACCCAATCCTATGCCATTCACGCTTTTACTCGGATCGAACATAATATTGGATCAGAAACCATGATCACGCTGTAATTGCGTACCGTATATGACATCATCATGTTAGAGAAGGGTTGCAAAATCTAGAAAACGGATCTTCTTGAATCATGCACGCATATTTGAATACACACTTTTAGTAAAAACAAGTTGCGTTCATTGCATTGATAATTCTTTTGTGGATGCATCACTGCATTCCGAAACTATGATAATTTATATTGTGGTGTGCTTGTTACTCGACTTTATTTAATTCTAAATACTTGGTACTCTTCGCGATGAACTGACCAAGTTATGCTGCATATGAAATTTTTTTTTCACTTTAAAATAATGAAGATTTCTATTGTCTAGCCTGTAAAAGGATTGGAATTCCCCATGATGGCAATCCGGTACACTTTAACCGGTACAAATACTGATAAAACAAAGGTAGTCACGAAATATCCAGCTTCAAGGTGCTTCTTGGTCCCCATCGTCCTGTAAATCCAATTACAGCTTCAAATAGTAAATTTACTTCTACCAATCCCAAATGCCTTTATTACACCTTTCTCTCCGTTTTTATCAATGTTTCCATCCGTAAACGCACATTTGCTACATATTTCGCTTCTACAGTACAAAGTGTAGCCAAACTCAGGAGGGGAGCTTGCGAGGTTGATAATAACAGATCCTGATGCCCTTTGGATATGTGGTAGGGTCCTATGAGTGTACTAAAACCCTGAAGTGGTTTGACTCCATAGCCACATTTGCGCCCGCCACACCCACTCAAAAATGTCCAAAAAACGCTTTCAATCCAGGTTTCACTCATTCAAATCCACGCCAAAAATCCAATTTTACTCGGATTTTGAAATTTCTTTCACCATTACGCTCCCAGATAGTTGCTTTCTTCAATCCAATGTCAAACTCAATTTTGATGATGATTATTTCGCAGGCATAATTTGCGTTGTGGATTACTACAACAATGCTCATTCAGAATTTTAAATTTTAAAAATACTAATAATTTCGAAAATATTGAGTTTGATATCGAATTGAAGAAAGCAACTATCTGGGAGTGTAATGGTGAAAGAAATTTCAAAATCCGAGCAAAATTGGATTTTTGGCGTGGATTTGAGTGAGTGAAAACCGGAGTGAAAGCGGTTTTTGAGCATTTTTGAGTGGGTGTGGCGGGCGCAAATGTGGCCATGGAGTCAAACCACTTCAGGGTTTTAGTACACTCATGAGACCCTACCACATATCCAAAGGGCATCAGGATCTGTTATTATCAACCTCGCAAGCTCCCCTCCTCAGTAAGAATGCTCAACTTCGGCACAAGTACAATGTCCTTATTTCTTGTCCTCAAAATACCACTGAACTAACTTTAGAAGAGTGTCGTTCTCATCTCCGACTCAACGTCCTCTTCCATATTCATGAATGACGAGATCATTTCAACACAACCAACAGGAGGCCAGGTTGAGAGAGTTAATAGGTTCAGTCAACAATTCGTTCAGCCTTCGCTATTTACTAACTTGTACTGTCGCCGACTGGAATTTAATGGAATAAGTGATAGGAGAAGGATAGATTTTATTCAAATTTAATCCCAGTCATTTTCTCCAATGGCAGCCCAAGTTTTGGTTTATCATTTTCACGGTGAAGAAACCAATGGTGCAACTTTCGACACGCCAAGAATGATACAACAGAATATTAGAAACACGCATATACAATGACACAACTGCTTGTTAGTGCTTTCTCTCATCATAATGTCTTAAAAGTTATCTTATCAACTATCTAACGAAGCAAAATAAAAATAAACTTGTAAATATATATTTATAAATTCATAAAAAAGGTAAATATCTATCTGCTGAAGTCATATAAATAATTGTGCTATTAAAACCATTAAGTTTTAAATCTACTAAAATCAGAACATTCCAATTGGATTGCATAACTTCAAAAGTAGAGCCAAATTTTATATTGGATGTATAAATAAATCTCGAAAGTACATAAATAGAGTTACTCCACAACAAATTCTGAATACATATCTTGCCATCAAATGATAATATGTAAAGCCATTCACGGTCCCCTCACTCACTCCATAAAAATTTTGTTGTTACTTTGAACACGCCATTTGAAAAGTGAAGAAGAAAGTGCATAAAAGTCAACCAACAAAGGTACATAATCTGACCTCATCCACCCTCAGCTAACGATACGGACCAGGGGACAAATGCGATGGAAAAGTTGAAAAAGTCTGTGTGGCCGTGGCCGAAGAAGACGCTGAATCAAGATTTAATGTTTGACAATGATTTCCCATTTTCATTCATGGGCTATCCCAGAAGCATTTATCTTCTCGTGTCATTCTGCTCCCTTTCGTGCCCTGCCCTGCACGGCGGTCCTGGTGCAAGCAAAGTAAATCTTTTCATTCATTCAATTTTGATACCAAGGAGCACGAAATGTATGTAACTAACTACGTAGTGAGTAAAGTAAGCAACCAAAGAAAGCAAGTCCGTGGTGGCTGCTTTCTCCGTCCTTCAATCCATTTATTCGTGTATGCCGATTAAGCAAAAAAAATTGTCATGCCACACAACTCATGTTCTTCACCCAAGCGTTCGCTGGTTAAAGTAAAAATTTCATTCCAACTCCAACACATGGGAGGAGTCACAATATCATAGAAACGATCAACGCATTTTCTCAAAGATGTGAAAGTCGATTGATACAGTCCAACATTTTTGTTGGGATCCGTTCTGCTGACGATGGTTGAATGACCATACAAATTTATAAATATTCATGTTGAGTAAAGAGATGAAAAATGAATTATTGCTCAAAATAAAGTAGGTACGTTCGTATATTTATTTACTGGGAGACGTAATTTGCTAGACATTGAGTACCAAAGACATTATTATTATGCATTGCTCCACTACTCAAAATTGAGAAGATTCATTCAGATTAGCTGGATTTTTATGGTTACATGAAAACCATCTCGCATTAAGTAAATACGAGCAGTATCTGCTGCACTATCTTCTCCGTGCGTATTATTCCTACTTTTTTCTCCTAATCCTTTCCTGGAGGGCAGAAGACGACATATCCTTTCCCTCAATATGAGAGAGAGAGGAGAGCACAGCCTACGGAGAAAGCGAGCGAGATAGCGCCTATCTATCATCAATTCTTCTTCCCCACTTGTGCAACAAACTTTCGAATGCTAATTTCAAAAGAAAGACTCTTAAGACCACTCTGTGTCCTCTGCATAAACCGCGACGAGCAGCCAGCCAGCAGCACTCTTCCCCCTCAAATCAAACTCGTAACCTCCAAGCCACCAATGAAGCCGAAGGTTGGCAAGTCAAGTTGTCGTAGAGCAAATGAAGCACCTCCGGTTTTGCCATGTCAGCAACTTAGAAAGTGAAAGTTTACGCCTTCAGGATTTTCAGATGTATGTGTGGCTATGAAAGAAGCGAAGTGCGAATACCATTCAAAAAGTTGGTAACCTAATGAAAAATTCGGAGAAATCCTATTTGTCGGTAT